ATATTTCCTCAAGACGACACTGAGGTCATGCATTCTTGGCAGGAATAACACAGACTTAATGCTATGTTCTTCTCAGTGGATCATATTGGGGGAATAGCATGTCAATTTGTCCTACTGTTTATGATCTTAACTTTACCACTTGGTTAAGACGGTTAATTATTAAGTATTTAGTATTTATTAATTAATAAGTAACTAAGAAGTATTTGAGTGATTAGTTTTAACTTAATTAAAAAGTATTTGAATCTATGCAAGTATTTTTTTCCTCGTCAAACTTTTACTTACTAGTTTTAGCATACATGGATGATTCTTACCTGAAGCACTTATTACTGTATTGGTACCAAGTGGTGATTTTCTCATCTCTTAATTCCTTCTACATGTATGAATTGGTGTTGTGTAGCAAGGTAGAACATTTCCTTTCCCAAGACTTGTAAGTGAGGCTCCAGTTAAGCCAAAAGTTCGTTAACTCATGGTCAAGACTGTCTCTGGGTCTAATGGATATTCAACAATGTGTTGGTGAGGGTAACTAAGGTCTTGTTTGTACCTAATTGGAGGTGTCATTTTCATTTCACATTGAAACTTTCTGAGGCTTGACCCACTCTATGGCAATTCAGGTCAGAGAAGATCCGCTGCAGGATGAAGTCTGTTCAGAGTTACCGCTTTTCTTTCAGTGAGTTAATCTGAGTCCGTTAGGACCAAGTAATTGGGCAGCGGTAGCCACTTAGTAGCGAGAAGAAGTCTTGTATTCCCAGTGGCCTTAGGTAAACGAGTTCTGGTGGGTTCTTACACCAAAGTTTCCAATCAGCTGTGAGACTGGCCACAAATATCTAATTCTGCTGAGTTTGGAGGAGATCGGGAGTTTCAGGGAAAAGCTAGATTTGCTCATACCTGGATTGCCATCTGGTGGCTTTTTGGGGCTTTAGCAGATGTTTATTGCTCATTATATACAGAGGACAATCAGGTAGTCAGTGTCCTGTTTTGTGTACAGCTGTTGGCTGCAGAGCCAGCACTACATCCTTCATGGGCCATGAAACGTTTCTTTGGCCTAAGATCTATATAGCTTCCAAGATGACCCCTTGAGTAGGGTCTTGGATTTCGTATTCATTCAAGATCTGTCTGTACTTAGGTGGCATGCTTGTAAGAAGTTTACTTCTTCTGGATCCTCACTTACAAGTCTTTCTTGATGGATGTCATATTTAAAAAGTTTTCTTTATGAATGTCACATTAAAAAATTGTTGAATGTTAAGGTATGATGATAGTATTATATGCAGTATATGTTTAAAATTTTTTTATTATTAGTATTTAGTGATAGGGAATTCCCTGGTGGTGCAGTGGTTAGGGCTACATGCTCTAACTGCCAAGGACCTGGGTTCTATCCCTGGTCGGGGAACTAAGATCCCATAAGCCACGAGGTGCGGCCAAAAAATAAACCCCAAAACCAAAAAACAACATATTATGTATCGATACACACTGAAATATTTATGGATGAAATTATATGATGTCTTGGGACTTCCTTGGTGGCGCAGTGGTTAAGAATCCACCTGCCAGTGCAGGGGACATAGGTTCTATCCCTGGTCTAGGAAGATCCCACATGCTGCGGAGCGACTAAGCCCACACGCCACAACTACTGAAGCCCTCTCACCTAGAGCCCATGCTCCGCAACAAGAGAAGCCACGGCAATGAGAAGCCCGCGCACCACAACAAGAGTAGCCCCCGCTCGCCGCAACTAGAGAAAGCCCGCGTGCAGCAACGAAGACCCAACGCAGCCAAAAGTAAATAAATAAATTTTTAAAAAGTATAATTAAAAAAAAAAGAAATTATATGATGTCTTGGATTTGCTTTAAAATGATATCGGCATGAGCGAGGAAGAAGAAAAATAGGATGTAGCAGAAACCAGATTGGCTACAGGATGATAATTATTTGAATTAATTAATGGGGTCATAATAGTATTACAAATATTACTGTGAGATAAAGACATTTTCAAATAAAAGGAAACTGACAAGATTTGTTGTCAGAAGACCTGCAGTAAAGAAATGCTAAAGGAAGCTCTTCAGGCTAAGGAAATTGATACCAGATGGAAACATGGATTTATAAACAGGAATGAAGAGAACAGGAAATGATAAATGTGTGAGAAGATATAAAATTTTGAAGTTATTTTAGAGACATATGACTATTTAAAGCAAAAGCAATGTATTGTGGGGTTTATAACATAAGTAGATGCAGTAGAGATAACAACAAAAGCACAAACGATGGTGAGAATTATATTGTTGCACTGGTCTTTAATTTTATATGAATATTACCTCTAAGTAGACTACAAAAAATTAAAGATGCATATTATACTTCCTAGCAACAACTTATAAAACTAATGCAAAGATATCCTAAAAAGCTAATAAAGGAATTAAAATGAAATACAAAAATATGTATTAACGCAAACCAAGGCAGGAGAGGAGGAATAAAGGCTCATAAGACAGATGGGACAACCAAACAACAAATAACAAAATTGAGACTTGGGTTCAACTATAACAATAATTATATTAAATACAAGCAGACTAAACCCTCAAATAAAGGCAATGGTTGTCAAATGAGCTAAAAAAATTTCATTGTATATTGACTATGAGGGATATACTTTATTTTTAAAATTTATTAATTTTTTTGCGGTACGCGGGCCTCTCACTGTTGTGGCCTCTCCCGTTGCGGAGCACAGGCTCTGGACGCGCAGGCTCAGCGGCCGTGGCTCACGGGCCCAGTCTCTCCGCGGCATGTGGGATCTTCCCGGACCGGGGCACGAACCCGCGTCCCCTGCATCGGCAGGCGGACTCTCAACCACTGTGCCACCAGAGAAGCCCCGAGGGATACACTTTAAATATAAAGGCACTGATTGGTAAAGTATAAGGATAGGAAAAGATACACCATGCTGATAGTAAGCATATAAAAGTAGGATGGCAATATTAATATCAGACAAAATGGACTTCAAGACAAGGAGTATTACCAGAGAGATAGGTAGAGATGGACATTTTATAATAAGAAAAGTAACAATTCATCAAGAAGTCATAACAATTATAAATGTTTATGTACCAAATAACAGAGTTTCACATTACATGAAACAAAAACTGATGGAATAGAGCTAAAGAAAAAAATCAGTATGAATATAGAAGAACTGAGCAATCTTCTTATCCACCTTGAACTAACATTTATAGAAACTAGACACAACAATTTCCAAATATATGTTCTTTTTATGAGCAAAGTAACATTTATACCTTTATACCTCATTTCCTGGTCCACAAACTAAGACTCAATACATTTCAAAATGGTTGAAATCTTATTAAGTATATTCTTTAACAACAATGCAATAAATTTTGGGATTAATAAAAATAAAACATCTAGAAAATCCCCAAACATTTAGAAACTAACAGCACTTATAAATAACCTATGGTCAAAGAAGAAATCACAAGGGAAATTAGAAAATATTTCAAGTTGAATGACAATGAATATACAACATGGCTAAGCATGTGGTCTGCAGCACAGCTTAGAGGGAAAACAATATAATGTAAATGTTTATGTTAATGAGAAAAAGCATTTAAAATTAATGATCTCAACTTCCCCCTTAAGAAACTAGGGGAGGGACTTCCCTTGTGGCACAGTGGTTAAGAATCCTCTTGCCAATGCAGGGGACACGGGTTCGATCCCTGGTCTGGGAAGGAGCAACTAAGCCTGTGCACTGCAACTACTGAGCCCACACACTGCAACTACTGAAGCCCGCGTGCTCTAGGGCCCTTGCTCCGCAACAAAAGAAGCCACCACAAGCCCACACACCACAACGAAGAGTAGCCCATGCTCACCGCAACTAGAGAAAGCCTGTGTGCAGTAACAAAGACCCAACACAGTCAAAAATAATTAAATTAAAAAAAAAAAAAACTAGGGGAAAAATATAGCAAATTACACCCAAAGTACATAGAAAGAGAGAAATGAAAATAAGAGTGGAAATCAATAAAATAGAAAATGAACAAACAATAGAGAAAATCTATGAAAACAAAAGCTGGTTTGTTACAAGTAGTAGTAAAATCAATGAACTCCTAGGAAGAGTAACCAAGGATAAAAGAGAGAAAATGTGAATTAGTAATATCAGGAATGAAAAAGGGGATGTTGCTATAGATTCTATAAACATTTGAAAAAAAAAGAAAATTAGCAACAATGTTTTATTAATAAGTTCAACAATTTAAATAGTTGTTTTATAGATTCCACGTACATGGTACATGAGTTGAGACAGTTTACTGCTCCCTTTCCAATACGTATACCTTTCATTATTTTTTTCTTTCCTTATTGAACTGGCTACAACCTCTATTCCATGTTAAAGTAGAGCGTGTAGTCAACCTTGCTTTGTTAGGAGGAAGGCGTTTACTATTTCACTACTAAGTGTGATGGAGCTATATAGGTTTTTATTCTAATTGCATTGGGAAGTCACTGTAGGGTTTTACTTGCATGAGTGACATTATCTAATTTACATTTTTATAAACCACTTGGGCTGCTGTGTGGAGAATGGGCTCTAGGAAGACTGGAGTGGAAGCAGGGAGGCAATCAGGAGGCAGCTGCAACCGCCCAGGAGAGAGGTGGAGGTGCCCTGACTAGAGTGAAGGCTGGGAGGTGGAGAGAAGTGGCTGGGATGGGGGACATATTTGAGGCATGTATATCTATAGAGCCGACAGGACTTGCTGATTTATTGAATTTGGATAAAGAAAAAGGAAAAAACCCATATTTATATCAAACAACTATGTTTATTTCAGACTTTTTTCCCCTGTGGATTTTAGATATTTTTGTAATGCATCTTGCTCTTTAGAATGGATCATTGAAAGTGGATACTTAAAAATCTAGCCTTATGTTATTTAGGACTTAATTTTTTAATAGGTAGAACACTAGAGAAAGAACAGTGACCAATATTTATACTGGATTTTAATCAATTTTAGATATTAGTGATCTGAACTAAATTTCTGCATTTTTCTTTTTAGGGTTGTCCAAGACTGGTTTTCAGAAAGGATGCAAGTGGCCAAAGTGGATTTCTCTACCACGCTTCATTTCTCTATGTATCTTTTCCTTTCCAAAAGATTTGTGTGCAGCTGGCACAAGTCAGCTGGCCCTGGAAATTTTTAACTGAACAGCTTTACCACTTGTAATTTCCTAGTAATAGGGCCCAAATGCAGCTGTCATCTGTAATGAGGTGATTGGGGTAGCTCCCTTTCCTGAAGATAATAACTGAGCGTATCTGAACCATAATTAACTTACGCCTAAGAGAAAAAAATGGGGATGAATTAAATACAGTAATTTATTTTATAAGTCAGGGGGATATACACTTTTCTAATAATTCATGTAATTTTAATAATCTTTAAATACTCAATTTAGTTATTTAGAAACTATCTTGGTTAAGAAGTCCATTTTTTTGTGAAAAATTACTTAAACTTTGGTTTTTACATGATATTGTTTTATTCATGATAACCCACCTCAAAAATTGCTATACAACCACAACTTTAACTGCTCCTCTTTGGCTAACATCTGTTGAAGAATATAAATCTAGATCTACATCCTCTGCCATTATCTCTGCATTTGGCCTGTTTGTCTCCTCTTTTTCTTTTAAAAGACTTAATGAAATGTAAAGGTAGACATACTTTAAATACAAGTCAATAATTTACTCCTTTAACTTATACAAACTTTCCAGAATGGGCTTATGTTGAGATTCTGATCTTGGAGAATACTTGGCTCTCCATGGAGGGGCCACAAGCGAAAGGCAACTGTGAGCCCTGGATTTAGAGCATTTATGAATCCAAGCTTAGTGTTCCCATGGTATATTGTTTCCTCTTTTTACTTTCAACCTTTCTGTGTCCTTATATTTAAGGAACATGTCTTATAAACAGAATATGGTGGTGGTGGTTTTCTTTTAACATGTGACAATCCTTGACTTTTAGCTGGGGTAATTTAGTCTGTTCACATTTATGTAACTACTGATATATTTGGGCTTAAGTCCAACATTTTACTATTTTAATTTATTTTATATTTTGTTTTACTCCTTGTCTCTTTTAGGATTAGCTTAAATATTTTTTAGGTTAATTGTAAATTCTTCAGCAGTTCTCTCTTTTTTTTTTTTTTTTTGGTACGCGAGCCTCGCACTGCTGTGGCCTCTCCCGTTGCGGAGCACAGGCTCCGGACGCACAGGCCCAGCGGCCATGGCTCACGGGCCCAGCTGCTCCGCGGCATGTGGGACCTTCCCGGACCGGGGCACGAACCCGTGTCCCCCGCATCTGCAGGCAGACTCCCAACCACTGCGCCACCAGGGAAGCCCTTTAGCAGTTCTCTTATGGCTACCATAGAGATTACACCACTTATCCAGGGTTATTTTACCACCTCTAAGGTAATGGAAGGAGCATAGAACTCTTAAACTCTGTCTGCTTCCCTGCTCGGTTTGTACGCTTTTGTTTTCAAATATTTTAGTTTTACTCATACATACATATATAAAATACACAAACACACATTAAAAATATATATATATATTAACCTCACAAGGCTTTACTACTATTGCTTTATATAGTTAATATTTATTTATGAGTAACCACTTCAAAAAAATTTTTTTTTCAAAGTTGCATTGTGGTCAGAATATATACTTTATTTTTTTTAAAGTAATTTTATTATTTATTTACTTATTTATTTTTTGGCTGCATTGGGTCTTCGTTGCTGCACGTGGGCTTTCTCTCTAGTTGCAGCGAGCAGGGGCTACTCTTTGTTGTGGTGCACAGGCTTCTCATTGCGGTGGCTTCTCTTGTTATGGAACACAGGCTCCAGGCACATGGGCTTCAGTAGTTGTGGCATGCAGGCTCAGTTCTGGCTCGCAGGCTCTAGAGTACAGGCTCAGTAGTTGTGGTGCACGGGCTTAGGTGCTCCGTGGCATGTGGGATCTTCCCAGACCAGGGATCAAACCCGTGTTCCCTGCATTGGCCGGCAGATTCTTAACCACTGCACCACCATGGAAGTAACCACTTTTTCTGTTGTTCTTTATACCTTCCTGCATCTCTGATTTTCCTTTTGGGATCAATTTTCTTCTGAATTCTCTTTAATATTTATTTTAGTGCAGCTTGCTGCTGACAGAGTCTCAGTTTTTGTCTGAAAATGTCTTTATTTCACCTTCAAATTTGAAGGGTATTTCCACCAGGAATTTGAACTCTAGGTTGGCAGTTAATTTTTTATAGAACTTTGAAAATGTTCCATTGTTCTCTCATGTTTTTGGAGAAGTAGGGGGTTTTATTGTTGGTCCTTTAAAGGTAATATTTCTGTTTTCTCTAGCTGCTTTTAAGATCTTTTTCTCTGTCTTTTGTTTTCTGCAGTTTTATTACAATGTACCTGGAGGGGTGTGTGTGTGTGTGTGTGTGTGTGTGTGTGTGTGTGTGTGTGTGTGTATTTATCCTGTTTTGTATTTTGCATTGATTTTTTAATTGGGGGTTTTAATGTCTTTTATCAGTTTTGCAAAGTTCTCAGATGCTATCTCTTCATATATTGCCTTTGCTCCACTTTCTCTCTTTTTCTTCTGGGTTTCAATACATTTGTTTTTGGTTTTGGTTTTTTTTGCGGTACGCGGGCCTCTCACTGTTGTGGCCTCTCCCGTTGCAGAGCACAGGCTCCAGACGCCCAGGCTCAGCGGCCATGGCTCACGGGCCCAGCCGCTCCGCGGCATGTGGGATCTTCCCGGACCGGGGCACGAACCTGCGTCCCCTGCATCGGCAGGCGGGCTCTCAACCACTGCGCCACCAGGGAAGCCCTGGGCTTCAATACATTTGATTGATTCACCATGTCCCGTAAGTTTCATATTCTCTAATGTGCCTTTTCCATCATTTTGGCCTTCAGTGTTTCAGTCTAGATTTCTCTTCTGGCCTAGCTTTCAGTTGCCTAATTATCTCTTCAGCTGGATTCTAATTCGCTCTTAAACTGGTCCATTGAGTTCTAAATTTGTTATTATATTTTTTAGTTCTAGAGTGTCAATTTGCTTACTTTGCCAAAATTTTCCACCCAGCAATTTAATTTCTTAGGCATAGTAATTACAGGGCTTTTTTAAAGTTCATGTCTGATAATTACAACTTTTGGATCTTCTGAGGGTCTCTATTTATTAAAAAACAAAAGAAGAAACAAACAGTTCTTGTCTTTTTGCATGCCTGATAGTTTTGGTTGAGTACCAAATATTGAATATAAAAAATCGATGCAATAATTTGAGTTGCCGGATGATATTATCTTCCTCCAGAGAGATCTTGCTTTTGCTTCTGGCATTTGGTTAGGCTAGGAATTGCTCACTTAAATTCAATCAGAGAGTATTTCAAAGCTAGTTTCAGTCTAATTCCTTGTCATCCTTACTGAAAAGGATTCAGCTAAAAGCCTGGTGTCATTACCAGGGCTATTTCCCTTAGTGGGCCCTGAATTTAAATTTGTTTCCTCTCTTCCCTGCAAAAATACCTAAAATTCTTAACAGCTTCTAAGTCTTTCAGTCATAACTTCCTTCTCTGCTTCTCAGCCTTAGTTTTACTTTGGAACTGTCAAGTGCCTTGAAGTGAAAAGTGAGGCCAAATCAGGATATTACCTCTCTGGGATTCCCTCCTCTCTGAGGTCTTGGTTGCACAAGTCCTTATTGAATTGGTAGCTCAAGTCATTGTTTTATAGTATTTTGTCTGAATATTTGATTAGATGAAACTACATGAAATTTGCAGTTTTCATATCTCAAAACTGGTTGCCTATTGGCAATATCATACGGGTCCCAGTGGGAGGGTTGGTCTGAGACAAACTACTATACCATTGCTAGAAGCAGAATTCTCAAAATCTGGGGTTAAAGTAACCAAATGCTATGAGAGCATTGAATAAGTGTACAAAGATGACTAATACATATATTCATATATAATAAACATGTTCATCAAAGAATATTTTTCCTGTGTAGTAAGGTGTATGCTTCTTATTTCTCAGAGTCAAGTTTAGATGGCAAGTCAACTGCACTAGAAATCTCAATGTAATAAGAAAAAATGATCTGTGTACCGGAAAAGATTATTACTGGGAAATGGTCCTTGTAACTTATGTTTCTCATTTCTTTTTCTGAAGGATTGCTTATGGATGCCCAAATGCATGAAGTTTGGATGGTTTCTGCCCTATACGCCAACAGATAATGAGTATGGTGCTTGGAAGCACCATTACATTGCTGTGTGTCCAACCTAGATTGGCTAACCCCTAGGGAAGCCGCAGCTCTTTATGGGACCCTGAATGAACCCAAAACAGAAGATGAGCAACTACAGGAGAGGCAAAGAGAAAAGTGCCTAAGGAAAATAATTTGGGAGAAAATTGCACTACAAAAGAGTGAGTGGCATTTTACAACTTTATATCTTAACCAAGTATTGTAGAAACCAATGGATTTACATACAAATTCCCACAGAAGATAGCGAGGTCTTTCTGAAACAGCCTGTAGGTGGCATTCTCTAAAGTATCTCAGGACAAACTCTTTTTTTCTTCACTATTAATTAAGAAAAACAAAAAGATTTCTGATAAAATATGTAAGGTCAAATGTCAGTGCCTCTGTGAGACCAAAAATAAGGAGAGGGAAGTACGAATACAGGCAAAAGCAAATAAATAGGATCAGGACAATTCGGAAGAATTAGGATCGGTGAAAAAGGAGGAAAAATGAAAATGGCAACGGAAGCAGGAATAATGACTTTTTTTTTAAAGTGGAAAGGGAGTAAGGATGAGACACTCTCTGAGCTAAGCCTTCTGATTTACACGGTGTGTAAAGGTAATGAGCAAACCTGATTTGAGTTCTCCCATCCTTTTTTTTCACTTACTCACCCTCTGCGAGATTGTAACAAATGGGAAATTACTTGAAGCCAAGAAGGCCAAAAATGAGGTAAAGCCTACAAACTGATGAACTGGTTTCTACAAGAAAAGAGTTGCTTATTCTCTGAGCTTGTTTCTTGACCTGAAGTGACTGGTAACTTGCAGCCACAGAGCCGAGAGGATAAGAAAGCCAAAGAGTGTAAAAAGTGGCTCTAATTACTGCCATCTGGAATACTGCCTTGGAACAGCTTTATTTTTATGCCATTAACTGTGTAGACTTGGCTGGGAGAAGCATGAAGTAAACAGCCGAGCCTGCTGCTGTTTGTTTTTCAGAAGATTTGTTCAAAGTTCGACCCCCTTGGGTGAATGGAACATGCTGCTCTAGATTGTTCGAATCCAAATGCCAACCACGTCTCTCCCAAACTGTGAGTGGGATTACAGGAAACTTTGGAGAAACAGCTTGTTTTTGCATCTTTAGAAGCTTTGCCCAAGCGGTAAGCAAACCTCCATCTACTGAAGGTGGAGGACCATCCTATGACACCAAGAATTCATTCTAGAATAATTCAGCTAACATGCAGGGATCTTGTATAATTATATGGCTCTTATCCTATGAAACAGCAATAGAAATAGTTCCTTAATCTTCAAGAACAGTGGTCTTAAACGTGCTTCTTGAAGAGGGAGATACAAAACATTCAAAATTTACGTTTTAAATATTCTTAACCCCGCAAAGAGGCTATATTGTGGACGTACCGTATTTTCTGTATAAAGTTATTGAGCAAAAGTAACATTTTTCCAGAAATTTTTTTGTAAGGAGTAAGCCTATCTGAATGGTGATGGGAGAGGGGTGACTGTGGAGAGAATGGACACTACTCAGAAAATCATGAGGCCCAGGTGATTAAGGAAATTTAAAATCTCTTGGGGCTTCCCTGGTGGCGCAGTGGTTGAGAGTCCGCCTGCCGATGCAGGGGATGCGGGTTCGTGCCCCAGTCCGGGAAGATCCCACATGCCGCGGAGCGGCTGGACTCGTGAGCCATGGCCGCTGGGCCTGCGTGTCCGGAGCCTGTGCTCCGCAGCGGGAGAGGCCACGGCAGTGAGAGGCCCGCGTACCGCAAAAAATAATAATAATAAATAAATAAATAAAATCTCTTGACTAATCCTTCTACAGATGTCATTTTGAGCCCTTAAGTATGTCACTACATTGGTTTTAAGTGCCCCACAAAAGTAAGTTCCAAGAGCCCTTTCTGGCATCCCACAAATGCAGGAGGAGAGGCCCAGAGGGCAGCTTTGGACCCACTCACCCAGGAACCCCATTTGCTGCTGTCCCTGAAAACCGCAGGGAGAGACGGAGGTACTGAGGCCGCTTGCCTTGTACAGGATAACTGATGTCCAGAGGACACACTGGTGCTCACTTGTCAAAGTCAAATTAAGAGAAAATCAAAACTTCACTTATTCTCCCTTTTTCCCTACAGAAGCAATGTTTCTGGATGCCATTCCTACCCTTTATTATCAAAGAAAAATTGGCATGGAGTTTATAAAAATGACAGCAGCTCTTCACATGCTCTCCAGCCACACTTCATAGTAATATCATCTCGGATTCCTGCATATTAGGTACAGAGTGTGTTAGGAGGCCAGTCCTGTTTTGAATCGGGTCTTTTTCATCTCCCCTAGAGGACGTATGGCAATCTTTTGGTCACCATGTGTACGAAAATGATTCATCTTCTAAAAGGAAAGCGGTCTGATCTAGGTGGAAATGTACAGACCCAAACAGTTTTAAAAAATCAGAAGCAATAAAAATAACCATAAGTCAAAATTATTTTTTAAAAAGTATTAAAGACCCAAACTGCCTTGCATTTAGTAGGTGTCCAATACATTTTTACTGAATCGAATTTGTTGCACTTAATCCTTAAAAGAGCAAAGTGACACAAATTATTTTAAATTTTCTTTGGAATGACCAAGGAACTTAATAATATCATATAACTACCATCTCTCAAAAGAAAAATGTCAGAAATCCTACTTTGTGATCTATTTAACGAGGGTGCCATTAGATGAAAATATGCTTTCTATAATAAAGTTATATATTTTAACTTTCAATATAAGAAAAAGGAAGCACAAAGAAGACATAGGAAGCATGTATTTATATATGTATGTATATATGTGTATATATACATGCATTAATATACACATAAGCGCATATATAAGGGATGGCATTAGTAGACTACATTCAATGGCTTACCTAGAAAATTTTTGCAAAAATTTCTTATTTGTAACAAAATGGTTGCTTTCAAGGTATGAAATCACTTTTCTTTTTGGGCATCTAGGAATTGACTTTGATCATTTACAACTGGCTAGCTTAATGGATCCACATGAAAGCAAGATCAGAGTTTTGATCTCCATGTGGGCCATAGATAGTTTCTCTAATGTTTAAAAATGCATAATGCTGGGCACAGAGGATAACTGGTGACAGAGTTAGGGTGAATAAACTGGAATCAAATGAGTCCATTCTCCTATTTGTCTTCTTTACATAAGACTATGCCATAATTACTTATTTGACTATGAATGTAATGGAGGTTTAGGTAAAAACTAGAATGTAACCATGTGGCAGTTCTCTATTCAGTTGAACTGTGACCTCCAGAAAGTGGCATGAAGTTTTGGGAAAAATCAATGCCTTCAATGACTTTCCAACCTGTCTGCTGCTAATGAATTAACTATATCACAATGAAAGGTTTATTTGGTTGTTGAATTAAAAGAACAGTGGTTTTAATATTTATTTAAATGGGAAATATTTATCAACATTGATCATTTGAAAATTCATAATTAAGAGGAAAACAAAATCTTTTCTTTTCTTTTTTTTTTTTTTTTGTGGTACGCGGGCCTCTCACTGTTGTGGCCTCTCCCGTTGCGGAGCACAGGCTCTGGATTTGCAGGCTCAGCAGCCATGGCTCACGGGCCTAGCAACTCCGCGGCATGTGGGATCTTCCTGGACTGGGGCACGAACCCGTGTCCCCTGCATTGGCAGGCGGACTCTCAACCACTGCGCCACCAGGGAAGCCCCCAAAATCTTTTTAAGAAGTCCATTACAAAATTGTATGATCTCGATTTTATTTTTAAAAGCAGTATATATGTCTCTGTGCATGGGTGTGTACAAGGAAAAAAGCTAGAGGAAAATAATTTGTTAGTATTTCTCTCTGAGTGGTGGAGGTACAAATGCAGTTAAATTTCCCCTCTTAGAAAAGAAACAAAATAATTTAAAAAGGAACCAATGAAGGGGAAATCTTATCTTCTTCCTATGGCTTTTGAAGAAAAACAATAGTCTTTAAAAATCACAGATTACATATTCACTGTTTTTAATTTATTAATAAGTGTTCTAAAGTAATGAGCTTTGGTTCCTACAGCTCTGGTTTCATTTTCTAGATGGTGGTGAACAGTGTTAGAGCAGATATGACATTTTGATCTTTCCCCCCTCAGGCTATAAAATTGGTATTAAAAATTTACTGAGGCCTGAAGTGAGAGACTTCTGGGAGAAATTAGGAAGCTATGTGGCCCCTGGAGAAGAAGGGGGTCATGTGGACCTCTTTGTACAACTCGGAGCATCAGGTCAGTTTTGAGTGGTAGTGGTCATACCTACCTCGTGATGGTATTTTGTGGATTTATAAAATGCCGTCAGTTCAAATGATTCAGTCACATTTATTTTTTATTTTTTTTCTCTTTATACTTCACATACTCAGGTATTTAGGGGGAAAGGGCATCAGGGTTAGTGGTCAGAGTAACTGTCCCTAAAGAAATAAAGTCACTAGTGGCAAGAGCCAGCCAGGAAATGTATTTCTGTTTCTTCTGAGTATTAAAAATGGTGAAGTGCCTTGTAAAGATGTGTGGTAGCTGATAATCTTAAGTGCCTACCTGTCTAATATCAGCCATATTTAACAGATATCTGTTAAATAAAAGCTCTGTATTCATGGACTCATGGGCTATGTTTTTTTTGTTTGTCTGCTTTTGTTGTTTTTTTAATCAAGCAGAGGAGAGGGAGTGTGAAATTAAAGTTTCTCAAATTGTTTCTTACTACCCATTCCTTAGGGAACTGTGAGTTTTAAAGTTCTTAATCCTCAGATTTCACTGAACTATTCAGTACATACAAAGCATGACCCTGGCAGGATTCCATGAGGCAAAAGAAAAAGGATAGGAAGGAGTTTAAAAAAAAACAAAGTATAAATTACTGTAAAAAAAATTTTTTTTTTTTACAGTTACTACAATTACATAATCTCAACTATGTAGAAAATAGGCATAGAAAACTCTAGGAGGAAATATAACAAACTCTTAACACCATCTATTTCTGGATGTGTTTTTCAAATTTCCTACTTTTAAAATCAGTTTGAAAAGAGTAAGTTACAAAGAATATGGAAGGTGTGATCCCAATGCTTAAATCCCGTGTATGTGTCGGGGAGGGTGGTGGTGGTGTGTGTGTATAAAAGGGGTTTGGAAGGATGTATACCAACATGCTAACAATAATTGGATGAGTGAGTTTTCCTTTCTTTTTTTTTCCTTTTTCTTTTATGTCTTTTATTTGCCTCTATTTTCTGTAGTGAACTAGTATTACTTTTAAAATGAGAGCAAAACAAATTTTCTAAAATTTGTTTTGGAAAAAAAGAAAGGATGAGGGAAAGTAAAGTATTCAAAGGCCGAGAGAATGAGGGTGAAAAGGGAAAAGAATAATAGATTTGGTGACACAAAAATGGTCTCAAGTGAAACTTAATGGTCTTCAAACAATGTATCTCCCACCGCCATTCTGGGCTCCAAAATAATCGCTGAACTTCGTGTCAAATATAATTTCCACCTGGGTGAACCATCGAGCCCCTGGTTCAGTCAGAAGGCCCAGGCTTCTCAGTCACAAATCTCTTTCCCACCGCCTCAGGCATCACTCTTGAGCTTGTCCTCCCCAGTAGCTGTATCACCTCTGAAATCTTGATCTCAAGCATTTGTCTCTCCGAGTACAACTTCCAAATCATATACTCAAGTATTCCCACTCTATCAGTTCTTCGTCTGAGGACCTCCAATGCACACACTCCCACTTTCTCACTCTCTATCACCATGGCTTCGACCTTGGTTCCTTCCTCATGAAACTTGGATTTACTGGTTCGTCATTATCATTACTCTCTTGCAAAGAATCTGAACTTCTTTGTTTCTTTTTCTCCTGGCCAAATCTCAGCTCATTTGGCTAAGTCCCAATGCTGGTTAAAACACAACCATCTGCATAATCTATGCCTGCCTGTACTAAAGCAGCTGAAGACTGTTGGAAAGAGTAATACAACTGTTCTTACTGATCTAACTTTAATGGCATAAATATCAAATGGGATTGCAGCTCTGATAAGCAATCCTATCACATTTTCCTTGGTAAATTCGTTTCCCCACTCTTAAAATGACTATGTTGTCCCTTCTCTCCTTTTTTTTTTTTTTTTTTTTTGCGGTACGCGGGCCTCTCATTGCTGTGGTCTCTCCCGTTGCGGAGCACAGGCTCCAAACGCGCAGGCTCTGCGGCCATGGCTCACGGGCCCAGCTGCTCCGCGGCATGTGGGACCTTCCCGGACCGGGGCACGAACCCGTGTCCCCTGCATCGGCAGGCGGACTCTCAACCACTGCGCCACCAGGGAAGCCCCCTTCTCTCCTTTAGTCAATCTTTCAATAACTCTCTCACTTGATTTCGCCTTTTACTTCCCTAAGGAAACTCCTTAATTTACCGCCCACCACAAAATCCACCACCTATCCCGCCTCTTACCTTCATTCTGTCTTCCCTTCTGTTACGATGGAAGAAGCACCCCTGCTCGAATCAAACATCAACTACTCCGCTTGGACTCTGTAACACATCGCCTTTCACCTTCCCAAGACGTCATTCCTATGCTCAAATCCTCCCCCACAGCCTCAGTCCTCTTTCTTTATTGGATTATTCCTATCAAATCAAGAACACCTGTAGTAGCTCCTCCCCTCTCGCTCCCCCCCACCAAAAAGAGAGACCGTAAACTTTGTCTCACCAATTTTTGAGTGGACTATACCAGTGGTTCTCAAACTTTTCACGTGTATTTGACTCACAGAGGGCTTGTTACAATCCGCATTGCTGGGTCCCAGCCTAGAGTTTCGGATTCAGTAGGTCTGGCACAGGGACTGAGAATTTGCCTTTCTAACAAGTTCCCAGGTGATGCCAATGCTGCTTAACCCGGGGGCCACACTTGGAGAACTGCTGGTCTATATGGCTGCCTTCACCTTCCTCGCCTCTCACTCACCCCTCAAGCTCGTCCAAGTGGTCTCCTTCTGCTGAAATCACTTTGGGAAAACTATAAGTGACTCTCATGTGCCCAAATCCGACGGTCCCTTCTCCATCCTCACCGGGACTTGACCTCTCAGCGGCATTCGAGGAGGGTGAAGACTTCTGGAAACTCTCCTTCTTCCCGTGCTTTCCCCAATACTACCTACCCTCTCCTTGTTTGCCTCCTATCTCAGGGGTCTCTTCCTCTCAGACTCCTTTGCTGGCTCCCGCTTCTCCTCCTCAAGACCCTTAAATGTGTCCCGGGGGCTTCCCTGGTGGCGCAGTTGTTGAGAGTCCGCCTGCCGATGCAGGGGACACGGGTTCGTGCCCCGGTCCGGGAAGATCCCACATGCCGCGGAGCGGCTGGGCCCGTGAGCCACGGCCACTGAGCCTGTGCATCCAGAGCCTGTGCATCCAGAGCCTGTGCTCCGCAACAGGAGAGGCCACAACAGTGAGAGGCCCGCGTACCACCAAAAAAAAAAAAAAAAAAAGTGTCCCGTACTTGATCTCGGGCTCACATCCTTTCCATGACTACACTCTTCCCCCAGGGAGCCTCATTTATTCCTATGACTCTACATTCAACCTGGATGCTGAAGACTCCCAAACTTATGTCTCCAGCTCTAAAATCTCTCAGCTGCACTCATATCTAGGCTTTACTCGACATCTTCATGTGGGTGTTTAGTTTGCATGGCTAATGGGCATCTCAAAGTTCACACGCCTACAGCAGACTCTTGATTGCCTCCCAGCACAAACCTCCCCCTCCCCCAGGATTCCTCACTTAAGATGTCATCATTCACCAGTTACTGCATAAGCCAGACACCTAAAACTCATCTTTCTCGGCATTACTTAAATTGTTTAAACAGCTTTATTAAGGTACAATTGATATACAGTATTTCAAGTGTGTAATTTGATAAATTTTTTAAGTGATTTTTAAATTTTTATTTATTTATTTTTGGCTGTGTTGGGTCTTCATTGCTGCACTCGGGCTTTCTCCAGTTGCAGCGAGCAGGGGTTATTCTTCGTTGCGGTGCGTGGGCTTCTCTTGTTGCGGAGCACGGCCTCTAGGCGTGCTTGCTTCAGTAGTTGTGGCTTGTGGGCTCTAGAGCACAGGCTCAGTAGTTGTGGCACATGGGCTTAGTGGCTCCTCAGCATGTGGGATCTTCCCGGCCCAGGGATGGAACCTGTGTCCCCTGCATTGGCAGGCGGATTCTTAACCACTGTGCCACCAGGGAAGTCCCTAATTTGATAAATTTTGACATATGTCTGTCTACACACTATGTGAAACCATAAACCAATCAAGATAATGAACACATTCATCATCCCCCCAAAGTTTCCTCCTGCCACTTTGCAATTTCTCACTCTGCTTCTCCACTCCAACCTGAGGCAACCACTGATTTCACAATATATTAGTTTGCACTTTATAGAATTTTCCATAAATGGAATCATACAGTATGCATGCTTTTTTGTCAGGCTTCCTTCACTCCAAATAGTTATTTTAGATTCATCCACTTCATGCTGTTATCAATTGTTCATTCCTTTTTACTGCTGGGAATGATTATATTGTATAGATATACCACAACTTGTTCCATTCACCTGTTGATAGATATTTGAGTTCTTTCCAGTTTGGGGCTTTTACAAGTAAAGCTGCTGTGAACATATGCTTTCATTTCTCTTGGGAAAATACCTAGGAGTGGAATGAATGGGTCATATGATAGGTGTATGTTTAACTTTAGGAAAAAACAAAAAAGAAAAGCTAAACTGTTTTCCAAAGTGGTTGTGTCATTTTATATTTCCATTCCAGCTGCCCAGCACTTGGTAGGGTCAGTCTTCTTAATCTGAGGCATTCAAGTGGGTGTGTCGTGGTATCTCACTGTAGTTTTAATTTGCATTTTCTCTAATGACTAATGACGTTGAGCATCTTTCCATGTGCTTATTTGCCATTTGTCTTCCTTGGTGAGGTGTCTGTTCAAATCTTTTGCTCATTTTAAAAATTAGGTTTTTTTGTTTTTTACTGAGAGATCCTTGTATATTCTGGAAAAGTTGTTTGCAAATATTTTCTCCTAGTCTATGACTTATCTTTTCCTTCTCTGAACAGTTTCTTTTGAAGACAAGAAATTCTTAATTTTGATAAAGTCAAATTTATCCGTCTTTAAGTTTTATAAATCATGCTTTTGATGTCATATCTAAAAACTCTACCTAACCAAGGTCACTTCTGTGTTTTCTCCTAAATTGTTTATAGTCTTAAGTTTGAAATTTGGGTTTGTGATCCATTTGATTTATGCTTTTTCTTTTTTTAAGTAGAACACAAGGTATGGATTGGAGTTTTTTGTTTTTTTTTTTAAACACATGTGGCTATCTATCAAATTATTTCAGCACCATTCCTTGTAAAGACCATCCTTTTCCCAGTGGATTTCCTTTGCATCTTTGTTGAAATCAACTGACTATATATGTGTAGGTAACTTATGAATGCTCTTTAATTTCACTGATCTATTTGTCAGTGAAAACATTAGACACCAATAAGTGAGAGACACCCCGACCTTTGAGCCACTACCATCTCGTTGCAAGCAACTGAAACAAGTTGGAGTAATTATTTACTCCTAGACCACAAAGAATTAAAATATATTACCCTATAGTTTTATTTGAAGTAGTTCAATCTATATGCTGTGTCACCAAAGAAGGGGTAAAATTAATGCTAAAATTTGACCATTGTATTCCATTATATGTTTAACAGTTTTAAATCTGTCCCCTGTGACAATGAGACTTCTTTGAATCAGGCTATTTTAGAAAATATATGTAGACTTTTCTCTGTCTTTGGCCTGAGAATTCCAAATTTGAAAATTAGCACCAGGTCAAACTTCTCGCCTCTTTCTCCAACCTGTTGTCGGTCTTCCTGAATAAAGTGTCTGGACTTCAGCACTTAGGGGTGAACTGCAAAGTGTTGATGGACTATTCCATGAGGGATTTGAATTGAAGACAAGACCTACAAGTGGCCTTTCTTGGCCAGCTCATTAGTGCTTCTAAGTAATATTTAACTGTTCATGGCAAAACCTGTGAGCAAACTCATGAAAGTATTTTTGGCTGTGCAGAGGCAGGAACAGAAGTTCTTTCTCAGCTGTCTCAACTGACTGGCACGTTATTGACCACCCCCCACTGGGATTGCCACCGGCTCGTACCAACACAGTAAGGGAATATGGGCACTGACCACTGTGCCCAATGACAGCCACCAACTCCAGGATCACCAAGGACAAAGCACAGCTCATAATCCTGGTTCTGGCAATGGTTCATTCCTCTCTGAAGGAATGCTGTCACTTCCCAAACTAGGTCATTTCTCATCACTCAGAATGGGATTATTATTGCTCAGAAGGGGATTATTACTGCAAATATTTGCTTCAAACCATCACTTGCAAAAACTCCGTTGAAAACACCAGCTTTAACAGCTAAACAAAGATGTATAGTAGCTGATTTAGAGAAATAATAAATACAGAGAACAATTTTTCTTAGTAAAACATTATCAATGTGCTTTCATTTGGAAAAATGAATTGCAGCTATAAAGAGATGGTGAAGGGACCAGCTCAAGTTTCATTATCCGAGAGGAAGAACAAAGGTAAAATACACCTGAGAGCAAAATTTCACTTAGATACTAAAGCTGCAACTGTTGGATCAAAATGTAACATAGGCTGACCAACAGAGAGAGCCAAATTGCTTTGCTATAATAATGTTAATCATTTACCCCTTCAAAAATCCCTCACCTTCTATCAAAGAGGACTCAGAGTGATGTAAAACTATATAAAGCATTGCTTCTCTAATCCTGAACGCTAAGGGCCTTTCAAGACTGAGGAAAGCCGGCATGATTGGGAGGCTTGTAAGGGAAAAGTTTCCATATAGATACAACAAAAAGCACATCGACCTAATATAGTTTTGTAGCAGAAGTGTTTGTTAATTTTAGTTTATATAGCACCATCATCCAATGAGAGCATATTTGGCCCCGAGCAGGGAGGAATCAGCCTTGCAGAGACAGCGGGGTGCAGACACTGCTGTTTATAAAATAGGTTTTCTTCTTTTTTTCCTCCTCTGTCTCCTTTTCCTCCTTTTCCCACTCTTCTTCTTCTCCTTCTAGAAGAACATGTTACAAATACTTTCACGTTTATCAGCAAAAAATGTGGGGAGAAGAATCAAACTGTCCATTTAGGACAGAAAATCAAATTTCACTTGGCCCTGTAACATTCAGTCACTGATTTTCAAGGAGAGGAACTTTCTGAAGCACCCAGTACAGTCTTGTAGAGATATTTGTAGAGAAAGAGTAGCTTGACATGATGTAAACAAGATACAGGCTTGGCTACAATGGGGATGACTTTGGATGACACGATGGGGAAACCAGGCAGAGTGGGGTTTTTCTGTATTTTTATTGTTAGGAGGTAAACATACAATTGTATATCCTTACTTGGGTGTCTATTCTGCTTTCTGATGCAAAAATCCAGCAGCTATTAATTTTTGATTTCATTGCATCCTTTTTGCGTTTCTAATTTTACCTTTGAAAGCAGACTATGGGTGTTTATCTTAGTCTTCTAATGAGAAAGGATAATAAGCCTGATATAAATGCAATTAAGTTTTTTTCATCCTGTAAACAGGAAGAATTCTTTCATCTGAGCTTAAGTCTGCGATGCTAAAAGGAGAAAATAATGTCAGTTCTTAGTGACTGGCTGGGACGGCAGTGGGAAAGGGCGCCCCCTTCCACCTACTTCAGCGAATCAAAGCTGCAGACATGGTCCAGCCTCACCGACTTCCTGGAAGACACCTTGAAATCAGTAAGGCAACAGCTAAGTCCTCTCTTCAAGGAGTTGCAGAGGAACGTAAGTGGCAGGATGACAGGTAAGAACTCTTGCTACTTCTGTTGCAACTTAATTTTGAAGCTTGTTAACACATCCAGAGTGAATACAAGTGTAGGAATGCACAAGTAAAAGTTGACTCTTAAGCATCTTTGGTAAAACTTTATTCCCTTTGTTTTTCATATCTCCTAAGAAAAAATATATTCATCTTCAAAATGCTGAAGCTAGTTCCGGGGTTCAAATTTTACCATCTTATTAATTCTGTGTCAGTCAATTGTTTACCTAGGCAAAATTCACTGTTTGCTAAGCCAGAGAGTTCGGTCCATTTCCCTCTACAATTTGCTCTGAAAGTTAATTGCCAACATCCCAATTAAGCATCTCTTAGACCACAGCACCCATGACTTAAATTGTTCTATAATTAAGTTCTATTTATTTTCTATCTAAAATATTTAATTTGGTGATGGGCTCCATGGACAAGCCTATCGGACATCACTGAATGTGTTTTCTCATTTACACGTCATACTCATGATCCAATTATCACAATAAAGTCTTTTGGAAACCATTTCCTGTTTCAACTTTAGATCTTCATCTAAACCAGTCAGTTCTTTAAAATGAAGTGTTTAAAAACAAACAAACAAACAAAGCCCACCTATTTAAATAGGTTTCTCCTGTGTCTTTAACTGCCTACTCATTTTTCTCTAACTCTTCACATGTCACTGAAGCACTGTACCAATCAAGTCATATGCCTTACTTCTTCCCTTCCCCTGCCCTGCTCCTTATTTGACATCTGTTAACATAATTATTGTCTACACAAGAGCTGTAACACACAAATATGCATGGGGATATTTTATGTCAACATATGCCTACATCTCTTTACACAAAGGTCTCCAAAGCAGGGATTTGTCTTCTTGGTTTTCTAGGCTTTTTTTGTTGTTGTTTTGTTTTGTTTTTTTGCGGTATGCGGGCCTCTCACTGTTGTGGCCTCTCCCGTTGCGGAGCACAGGCTCTGGACGCGCAGGCTCAGCGGCCATGGCTCACGGGCGCAGCCGCTCCGCGGCATGTGGGATCTTCCCAGACCGGGGCACGAACCCGTGTCCCCTGCATCGGCAGGCGGACTCTCAACCACTGCGCCACCAGGGAAGCCCTGTCTTCTTGGTTTTAACTCTACCACATTTAGTAGATGTTCAACCAGTATTTTAAAAGTTATGAGACTATAAACAAGGAGAAATTATTTTTCCTGGTTCTTTCACAGATATTAAGGACTAGAAAGAAAAGTGGCAAGAGGAATGATAGAAGTATGTCATGTAGGTCATAAGCAATGAAAAGTCAAATGGAAAAAGGTTGTTTTTCAAATAAATGCAAGTTTTTAAAAATATTTTTAAAATGTAGAAGATGTCTGTGTATGTATGTTTGTATGTTATTCCCTATGGACTTAAAATATTTACGGATTTGAGCACAAAACGAATGCAGAATATGGAAGCGTTTTTGGTGGAATTGAGAATCTAAACTTTATAAGGTTTTTTTTCACATGTTCTTTCCTTGTCCAATTTACAGATTTCATTCAATACAAGCTCTGTCAGGGTGGGTACTTTCTATACGCTACACATCTAGACGCTTTTGCTCATTTTCTACTTCATCATGGTAGATAACATGGCATAGTAGAATTTTTATTCTTAGTCTGCGTTTTTATCCACTAACAAGCAACTGTGAGGACTGAGTTTTCTTCTTGATCATATCTCTTACATATTTTAATTACAGGCCTATCACCTTATATTTTCAGGGCAATTTGTATCTGACACCATGAGTATGGCTAACATTCTGAATAACCAAGAAATTATACAAGCTCTGGCAGAGGGATTGATTGAACTTTCAAAAGAAAATTCTGTAAGTGTTCCTTTGAATAAAACAAAGTACAAGGGCTTCCCTGGTGGTGCAGTGGTTGAGAGTCCGCCTGCCCATGCAGGGGACACGGGTTTGTGCCCTGGTCTGGGAAGATCCCACATGCCGCAGAGCGGCTGGGCCCGTGAGCCATGGCCGCTGAGCCTGCATGTCTGGAGCCTGTGCTCTGCAATGGGAGAGGCCACAACAGTGAGAGGCCCGCATAAAGTACAAAAACCCCAACTTTAAATAAATTTTTAGTTTGCATTTATTGTTTTTTACCAGTTTATCCCTCTGGGACACAATTCCTCAGAGGAAGTGCATCAATTTATGAAAAAAAGCCACTGAGAGATTCTGAACCCAAGATGTATTAGCTGCATAAAATAGACATATAGGAAAAATCTCGATAAGTTAAAGATGATCACATGATGCACTGTTTTCTGTCTTGTGATTAATTTCAGTCAGAAGTGGCTTTAAAAAACACGTTTAGTGGCTTATATTTCACATAAACATTATTCAACAGTTAAAACAATTATGGCAGAAAACCTGAGAAAATGTGAAATCAGATATAAAAAGATGAAGGGCAAGGAAGGCTAGATAAGAGGAAGGGAAAGAGAACACAGAAGAACAGAAGTAAGCAAATCAGTAATTTGGGTGGGCAGAGGCATGGGAGAAAGCCTGAAGAAGCATTTTCATCAGAAACAAATCTTGAACGCTTTTCTACAAAGGTCAGTCCACATACCAGGACACAGTGAGTAGAGGCAGTGTACAGAACACACTCTGCCCCAAGACCATGGCAAGGTTATAGGAAAGTAAAATACAGTCAGCCATATGTATCCGTGGATTCTGCACCTATGGGTCCTGCATCCTAGGACAACTAACCACATGTGGAAAATATAGGGGAAAAAAATTCCAGAAAGTTCCGAAAAGCAAAACTTGAATTGGGCTGTGCACTGACAACTATTAACATTGTACGAGGTATTAAGCAATAGATGATTTAAAGTATACGGGAGGATGTCCTAGGTTACATGCAAGTAGTACACCATTTTACATAAGAAACTTGAATACCCGAGAATTTTGGCACCTGCCGGGATCCTGGAGCCAATCTCCGTGGATACGGAGGGACAGTTGTATGCAGTGCTCAGTTCAGGGGCAGTTGAGAATAGGACAGGAGTAGGGGGTGATACTAACATACCTGATGCTGTGTAAGGTCTCTAGTTTTCCAAGGAAAAATTCTCAAATCCTTCCCTCTCACTGTAGTAATTCCACTTTGTGCGTGCTTTAACAACGTCTTTGGACACTCTCTCCTTATCTATCGTGGTTTCAACTTGGCTTCCTGGGTAAGCACCAGACATCTCCTGGGTACGCTGTCCAATGAGAACCCTGGGGAGTTGCCGTTAGCCATGAATTTCTTCCCTGAAGACTCAGCTCCGCACCGCACTAGCCAATCCTCAGGCAGCTCAGTGGTAAAGGCCCTGGAAAACTTTGCTGATAATATGATCAGAGACGTTTACAGGGATGATCCTGAGGCCCTGAAATTCTCCGCACCGTCCCCAAACACCAACGAATTAGTCAACATGTTTGGTGTAGGTTCATGGTACTTATTACCGTCAAATTATTTTAAAATAACCTTGTATGATATAATTTTGGTGGTGCTCAAACCTACAGTCAGGGCGGCAACCAAATTTGGGAGTCTCACGGGGTGTTTTCCCCGGGAATTCTGCTGCTGGAGCCTCTCCCCCAGACCTTCGTTTTCCTGTGAAGACACAAGAGTTGTCCTGTCCCCTTTCCTCATCTGGCTAAAAAGTGTGGGCCACTTTGGTTCTGAAGATCTTGAGACCCTCCCACAAGATCTTGGCATCCTAACTGAACTGCGACCATAAGCTGAGAATCAAGATTAACTGGAAAGCTCCATTTACTGACTCTAATTGAATAACAGTTACTTTGTTTTCTGGACTTGCAAATTAATTAGGTAGAGAGATGAAAACTCTACTTAAAAAATGTGTTTTCTGCTGTACTTCTGTTGACCTGTATTTGAAATAGAAATTTGCTTGGGGGGGGGTGGATTTTTCAGGACAACCCTCTGGAATTTTTGTCATATTTCCTGCTGAAGAAATGTAGTAAAAAGAGCAGACTTTGAAGGAAATGTTATTCTGACAAAATGTGACCCAAAGGCAACATGCAATTTACTCATGAAGGTAAAGCTGCTGCTGCATTTTTATGCCATTGCTTCACTGTACAGTTAGACACATGTGCTTAAGAAATTCATAAACAAAAACGGATAATTCTGCCTGGAAAGCTTTCACCTGGTCATATCTCCTAAGAACTACCTTTTCATGGATTATTATTAAAAAAGTATGCTTTGTAGTTTCATAATGTGAGTAACATCTAAGCCACTTACAAGCATACGTGGCATCACACTGACGGGAGTAAAACTAGTTGGCTTTTGGGGGAAGAACTGGATACTCGCATTCTGCCCAACATAACCTAAAGAATTTTTTTTTTCATCTGTGGCCCAGGACACTTTTTTGGTGAAACTAAAAATGGTTCTTCTTTTTTTTCTTTTTTTAAATTTAAGTTGAGATTCAAATTCATAAAAGTAAAAAAGTGGGTTTGAAGCTAGTTCTTCAGTCAAGAAAAAATAATTTTGCCAGTACTATATTCAGAATCCGTACATTCTTGGTTAAGTGAAATAATCTGGATTCAGGAAACACTGAAAATTGCATTGTCATTCAGAGAGCTGATTTCTATGAAAATGTCATTTCATGCCCATTGAAAAAGCACCTATCTGTGATGACTGAAGGCTTGGATGCCACCCCCAACACAAAGTCACCATGGACAGTGTTAGGAGGAATAGACTTGTGGGTTCCCCCAGCAGGCAAATCGTGTGTTGCCCCATTAACCTGATATTCTGGAAGTTTTTGTCCACCTGGCTTTAGAGAACAGCACAGTGCAGGGAGGGGCAAACAGGGTGGACGGCTGGAGGCAGCGTCCCCTCCACCAGACTTGCTCAGCAGAACGGAAGGCCTGCAGTTATTCAGCCCCCGCCCTCCGTCATTAGCGGACTGTGCACCTTAGCGGCCGCTCCTCCCCCTGAAGTGGCTTATTCTTCCCAACCACAAGCATCCTCCCCGAGAGGAGTCTTCATAAACACATTCGCAGGGACATCTAAACCCTTTAGAGGTCCGAGCCCTGCTTCCCTGACGCCCCACCCCTAAATCTCTCTCTTCAGGAAACGCTCACGGACCATGTATTCATCAGGGTTCTCCAGAGAAGCAGAACCAATAGGATGTGAGTGTATATATAGAGAAAGAGATTTGTTATAAGGAATTGGCTCATGCAGTTATGGAGGCTGCCAAGTTCTAAGATCTGCAGCATGAGTCAGTGAGCTGGAGACTAGGAGAGCTAACGGAGTAGTTCCAGTTCAAAGGCAGGGCAGGCTAGAGACCCAGGAAGAGCTGATGTTTCAGTTAAAATACAAAGGCAGGGAAAAGCCAATGTCCCAGTCTGAAGGCTATCAGGTAGGAGGAATTTTCTCTTACTTGCAAGAGGGTCAGCCTTTTTGTTCCACTCAGGCCTTCAACTGATTGGATGAGGCCCAGCCACGTTAGAGAGGACAATCTGCTTTAGTCAGTCTCCTGATTTAAATGTTAATCTCATCCAAAAACATCCTAGCAGACATACCCAGGATAACGTTTGGCCAACATTTGGGCACTCTGTGGGCTGGTCAAGTTGGCGTATAAAATTAACCATCACAAACCACTTCTCAGGCAGAGGTCAAGTCCCCAGCTTCTCAGTTCAGTTCCCTAAATACTTACAGGAAGCAATCATGTGCTAGGCACTGTGCTAGCCCTGCGGATAGACATAAAATAAGACACAGCCTCTGCCTTTGGGGTGGATAAGACTGACACATACATAGATGGCGCAGCCTGATTAATTCCTGTTAGCAGAATGACCAGGAGGGGGTGGGGCACAAGGGGAGGCATTTAATCGAGATGCTCTTTCTGCCTCTCAGAGTCCTTTTGCCTTGTTATGGTGGCCACTATCTCTTTGAGATTTCTGAGGATTATTCTCCCAAAAAGGTGGATGTAGTCTCCATCCCTCCTTCAGCCTGTGAAAACCTTTGAAATATAGCACGCAGGGCTCCAGTACCACTCATTTCCCCTTGGTTCACTTAAGGGAATAATCGACATGTAACCACATCACACAGGTTCCAAATTATTCCAAAGTCCTTACAACATCTTGGTCATTCCTGACTCCCTGGAAACCTTACTGAAGTTCTTCCATCAACCTTTATTCCTAAGAATGAAGCTGTCACCCTCAACCATGGACATACAGGCCCCAGAAATGCCCTTCTTTGGAGCAGGATAGCTTGAAGAAAGCAAAAGGAACAAAACTATAAGTGCCTCTTCTTGTGAAGTGTTCATTTTACATCTGAAAGACCTTACTATTGTTGAGAACAATTTCTGGAATCTCTGACCCCTAAAAGAATGGTCACCTAGAACATTTCCTCTCAAAGATACTTTCATTCTTTCCACTGCCAAATAAAATCCACACTGAATTAAGTCTTTTCAACCTAATCATCTAATCACTTTAATAAAATGATGCAGAAAGTTTGGGCTTAAAGTTGCCTCCATGCTGGAAATCAGGCCTGCTCTTGTTACATGGTCTGCCTGTAATAAAACTACAGAAATGTGAAACACCTTAGTGCCTAGGAATGTCTTTGATATCTTCCTTTTTCAAAATCAAATCAGAAAAAACAGGTGTTAGATCCTTATTTGGTTCTCTGTTATACACTTGAGAGCTTGTGCGTGATGCCTATGAAACAAATTTGGGGACCCTAGGAAGGAAAACCACAGCTTAAACGTAGGTGCTGAATTCAGATAAAATAGAGAAGCTGAGTATCTCCACACCTCGGGGTTTATTTTTAAAGGTGTAGATACTCGTCCAGAAAAGCACACAAATTCTCAGCCATAGGAGTGGAAAGTAATGCCTTCTTCTGAGATAATTGTTTTAAAGACCCTTCCACAGGGTCCTGTGTAAGAGGGCTTGTCTGCCAAATCCAGGACCAAATACACACACACACACACGTATATACATATGGACAGATACATATATAGCTCACTCACTCTATCTATCATCTTGCTGCCCAGTGAGTAGTTAACTCCTGGCCTTGATATGCCTATAGTGTTTACACTGATACTATACAACCACAGTGATGAGTCACAGCCAGAATCATAGTTGTTCTTGACAATGACATATGACATAGTTGTACCTGTCATTTTCACAACTATTTCTGGTCCCTAATTCAGGCAGCCAAGTGTTTTCTGGGAGAAGCACCAGCAATAACTAGGATGTTAGCAATAAGTAAGATCCTAGAGGAAAATTCCTAACATGTGATCCAAGGTCTTGCTTACGGGTCATGGACAGAGCCAAGGCAAAGGCCCAGCAACTCCAAATAATTGTTTTCTTAAAAATGTGCAAAGTTTGCTGCCCCTGTTACTTCATCCAAATTCATCCCTAAAAACGAAGAGAGGATGGTATCTTAACCAAAAAATAGACTCTAAAAATCCTAATAATTAGACGGATAATATAAAATGAGAGAACTCACTGTTTTTAGGTTCAAACACAATTACTGCATCAAATTGATTTCCTAGCCACAGAGAAAATTTTACCTTTAAAAAATAGCTGTTGCTGGAAATTCCTGGCGGTCCAGTGGTTAGGACTCTGCACTGCCACTGCAGGAGGCCCAGGTTCGATCCCTGGTCAGGGAGCTAAGATCCTGCAAGACACTCAGCATAGCCAAAAAGTAAATAAATAAAAAATTTAAAAAGCTGTTGCTGAGCCAGAGATGAAACAAAGCCCCAGTATGAGCAAGCAGGTTCTAGGATAGCCAGGGGGGTCTAGGAGTCCACTCCTTAAGTTTAATGCCTGAGCACTCATGGGGGCCTGTACAAAAAGATGATATCCCAGATAAGGGGGCCTCCCTCGTCTGTGGGATCCACAATCCGATCTGTACCGCTTGGGTTCTCTTAACCTCAGCCAGGCAGGTTGAGTTTCATTTTCATTTTATGCCTGCAACCACGTCTACCTACACAACTACGGGTGTCACCCTGACTGGTTGAAGTTATCATTTCTCCATATAAATTATCAGCACTATAATTTATTTTGAAAGAAGAGAGTGTTCCTTGCATAGAAATTATTGTGTCAAAATTCAAAGTAGATTTAAGTATAAGTACGTGCCAGGCCGCTATGGGTCAGCCCCGAACGGGGAAGACAAAGGACAGGGCAGAAAGGCTCTGTGGGGCAGCTGTGAAGCGCTCAGGCTCAGGCGCTGGCTGGCTGCATGCAGTTCCAGGACCAGGGCTCTTATACAAAGGCTTCAGGCAGCCATAGGGGACGGCTGCAGGTACAGAATAAAAACTTGTTTTTGCCTGAGTAGAGTAAGGCAAAAGGAGTCTTGCTTATAAATTGGTGTTTTCTTTCAGTCTCCCCCCTACATATCAATGGGTTGCTATAGGTAGTTTTGTCTTTGACTAGGAAGGGCAGCAGTAGTGGCCATTAATTATCATGCGTCTCAGCACAAACATGGGACCATTGTTCCGTTGCTGGGGTGGACCCTGGGATGCTGCAGGCCGAAGGGGGGGGCTTTCTTTTTTAACGTGCTAAATTATATGGAAGCCACAAGAACAATTAACAAGGCAAAGTAAAGAAAGAATAAGCCATATTTAACGTGGAAACAGATCTAGAAATGGCATGTGAATTACTTCTGACGCTTTTTCACGAGGTGAACAAAGAGGTGAATTTTATAAAGTACTGTGAGCTTTTGCTTCTGGCGCTTAAAAGCAAGATAACTTGTTTGCAATCTGCTGCCTGGTGACAGAGCAGAGCTGAGGCAGAGGCCTGGTCCCAGGCACCTGGGAGGAGCAGCTCAAGAGCAGAATCCCTCTCCTGACTCCAGGCGAACGGGAGCTGCACTGCATTTAGTTTCTCAAGTATCATGCAGTTCCTAGGAAGCAAAAGGTTATTATTTTTTTTAACGTAACATTTAATTTAAGAGAGGCATCAAATTTGTCGAGTGCTTAGTTCATTGTGTCTCAGGGCCACTATGGTTATGGCTGAAGGGCAGAGCTTCTGAACCCTCAGGGAGCTTGGCGCTGACTGGGCAGTTAGACATCCCAGGGCCTGCCCCAAATAACCAAGTCTGCATTTAATCCTCAGGAAAGAAATGTTATAGAAGAGAATCCTCAGGACACAAAATCAAGTCTCAGCAAAAACGGTCCAAATTTTGAGTTGCTGCTTGAGTTGGTAAGCCAATTATCACATAATAAAAATTTTCTTTTTGTTTTGCTCCTGACCAAAAAAAAAAAAAAAAAAAAAAAAAAGCTTCAACCTTTATTCTGGTTTGTTCTTCCTTTTTTCTTGAAAGTTTCTCTTAGGGGGAAAGAACCCTCCAAATATAACTGGGGGAAATCCAGCCAGTAGATTTTTCTTTTGAATAAATCCTGGTCTAAAAAGAAGTTGAGGCAAGAGGCTGGACGTGTTACACATCTCGGACGTGTAACATGTGCTACGTGTAACATAGCACAGAGCCATCTCTGTGCTACTCCTTGCTTTTCTGATAGGACACTAGGACGGCATTTAAAGAAGTGGTACGTGGACGTGAAGGTTCACAGGGTTTAACCGACCCATCAGCTATGGTCTGACTTCAAACGCTGAGTATAATCAATATAACTTTTAGGGCTCTGTCTTTCCGTTTAGAAAGGGTAGTAGTGGGTGAAGCAGGTGCAGACAGGCAGAGGCTTGGTCCTGTGCGACAGTAACACAGTGCATGCATGCCGTCTAGCATTTCTGCAACACACATCCACATTTATTATCGCGTTTCAACCACAGAACCCTGTAAGTCAGGTGTTAGAACCCACATTTTGTAGAGGAAGAAGTAAAGTCAGAAAACTTAAAGGATTTCCCTAAGGTCAGACAACAGGCAAAGAGAGAATCTTGAATCCTGCAGCGCGGAGCTCAGCCCCAAGGTTCTTTCCCAGTCACACAACACCCAGGGCCGGTCCACCTACAGTGAATGGTGCCGCAGTGGACCTCGCCGACCCCGCGCTCACTCATCCCCAAACCCAACCCCAGGAACCACCAAGGAGGAGGGCATTTACATAGTGCAGTCATTATGATAGAATCTCATCCGGCTATTGGTAATAATACCTGACAATGGTTTTAAGACAACGACAGAAGTTTTGACAACTGAAACCTTAAGTCAAAATGATGCTAAATATTAGATCACTCCAGTATTTTAAAAATATGTAAATACACATAAAATATAATGTGGGCTGTAAGCCAACTGCCAAGTGGGATATAGATGTATTTTTTAACTCATTAGATATGTCTAAATAGGCATTATATACAGACCATGTGTTTGAAAGATAAAACTTAACCAAGAACAGTGCCTATAGTATTTCAAACAGAATGAGTTTTCTGATTTTTCTCTTAAATTACTTTTACATTTTAATTTTAGTTCATGAAATTATGGTTGACATTTCAGGTGAAGATCACATGGCATTACACGTTAGTATTGTCATATTTTATTTGGGGCAGTGTGGGGCAGACCTAGGCCTGGAGGGGAAAGAGGAAATTGTGTTCTAGGAGTTTTAATCTTTCTAGGCTCAAAAGACCATTAGATTTTTAAAACACCATTAGACCATTAGATTTTTAAAAATTGAATACTGTAATTGTTTTCTGTTGTAAAGATACTAATTTTACAACTTTTCAAAAGTACAAATATAAGGAAAGGAATTACCTAGTCCGAGTAAGGAAAATTAATTTCTCCATACATAAACATAGCACAGTTAATATCAGGATGTGGGATTTCTTTACACCAGTGTATGGCTTTTCCCTCTGCAATACAAAATAAAACAGGACTATTTTTATTTCTATGATATATAGAAAATACGGACCACCTGGCAACCTAATTACCCAGGAGTGGCGGGTTCACAGGTACTTTTCCCTAAACATGGAAAGAAGAGCCTGAGTTTCGGTGGAAACTGGTGGAAGGTCTTCGGTGGACGACCACCTGACTCAACCTGCAACCTCACTTCCCATCTCCTCCTTTCCTGTCAAATCTGAACCGCTCAGTGTCAAGACAAAAGGATTTGACAAAAGCCCTGCCCTAAACGACTGACCACAAATTTATTTTTTAAGTTTATAGGTTGTCACTAGCCAATATTTCATGGCCACGCTTTCCTCATATTGCAGGTGGTTTCTAGATGACTTGAGAGACAGACTACAGGAATGGGGCCCAGCTCACTGCGTGGGAGAAATATTCATAAAGTTTGGAAGCCAGTTGAACATATACGCCAATTTCTTCAACAATTACCCTGTTATTCTGAAAACTATGGAGAAGGTAAAAGATTGAGTGACCATCCAGGCACTTATTAGCCCTTCTGAGCTTGAGAGGAAGTTTCATGTGTAACCCGAAGGACTAGAATTACCAGGAAAGACTTCTTCTCTACTCTTGGCTTCCAGATCTTCTCTGGTTTACTGTGAGCTCCTTGAGGACGGGGACCCTGACTTACCTAATTTTGTGTCGCTATGGGCTGGCACAGTGCTTGACCCAGCAGCACCCTGGAACTGGTTGTGGGACTGAACTAATCCTCATGCAAAAAGCCAGACTCCCACCTGTCCCAGTTACCCTGGGGCTCGGTTACAGGAACATGCTTCACAATGAGACAGAAGCAAGACTGTTAACCCTGATTCCATGCTGCCACTACAGGCCTGGGTGGCCTGGGCGAGTCCAGCTCTCTCATGGAGAAAAGGAATTCATACTCCACACATTGGAATAAAAACATTCAATGTGTGAAATCTCACAATGAAATAAGGAGTTCCTTTGTCTTACATTCCCGAGCGAGTGCATTATAAACAGTTGTCCCTGTTGTGACTCCTGCCATACACTGTCTGAGCGGGAATATGCAGCTCCCGTCTATGCCCCTTGCTGCTCTTGTTGGGATCTCCTCTGATGGCAGTAGGATACCTCTCTTCCCTCCTCAGTTTACATCAAAAGGGTAGCAGGAGAGGCACCCTGTGACGTGGCGGTGCACTCTGCCACGGTCCCCACGTCCAGTGTGGCCGTGTCCACCTGTCTGCACTGAGGCCCTGAAGGGAAAGCCCGGGGCTGGGGAGTCTCTGGACAATTCCTGACCTCAGGCATTGCCCTTTGCTGTCCTCTTCCTGCCCCACCTGGGGAGTTTAAACACTGCAGGACAACTCGATTATGTGAAAGTTGCATGAATAAAGCAATTTCATAGAACTGACATTTAGGACAAGAATTGGAACAAAGCATCATATATTATTACAGGCAAATTTGTGCCAACATTTTTATAGTTATGGATAATAATGTATCTACTTCACTAGCATGGGGGTGAATATAAGTAAGCACGCAATAAATGTTAGCTCTTAACATTTCTGAAATCAGTGATTATTTGACTTCTAGAAATTAGCATTACTTCCATCTGAGAAAAATGAGGTAACTTCCTGGGGGCTGTAATGGTGATGAATAATACATTTTAAAACAGATATTAAGTATAGTGGAGCACCTTTTTAATGTTGCTGTGGAAAACATGCTTAACAGCAGTATTACCGGTGAACCCATTAATAGTCTCTTACTATTAGGAAATAACCTTTATTGTGTGACGGGCACTTTACAGATAGGATTCGCCCCCTCCCCACTCACTGCAAGGTTAGATATGATATCCATGAGAAAACTGAGGCTCAGAGAAGTTAAGTAACTTGACAAAGTCACATAGAATTAGATAGAATTAAATTAGAATTCTAATTCTAATCCAGGCCTACCTGCACACAAAGCCCATTTTCAGTTTTCTATACTTATTAAGTTCAATGAATAGGGTTAGGTTTATGGTATAATTAAAACACTATACTTAGGATATCAGTAAGCACCTATAGTGTTAATAACACTGTGATTAGATGTAGATGTTGCCTTTTTGCTTTTGAGTGCTTCACAGATGGTGCTCGCCTGGTGGAACTGAATGCTTCAAAACTGTCTTATAGAGATTTGACAATATAATGCTCACCTTTAGTGCAGAGAAATGATACCAGCACTCCGAGCTTTCCTGAAGAGGCATGATAAGACCATTGTTACAAAGATGCTGAGGTAAGCTCTGAGGGAGAGCACAGCCGGGGCACCCCAAGTATGGGCGTTCTCTGGCCGTCAGAAAGAGACCAGGGCTCCCTTGTCTGTGCCTCATACAGCCTTCCAGAGCTGCTTTTGCACCCATCCCAAAGGTCTGAAGAATATATTCATCTTCTCTACGCTCTGAGGCTTCACACTTCTGCAGAACATGTTGACCACGGGACTTGACCACTGCAATTGAAGTAATCAAGAAATACAAAGGTTGCATAGATCAGGTTGGCTGCTGCTAAGAGCCTGTGTCCTTTAAAAATGTTACAGTGCTTTTGTGTACTCTACCTCAAAGATCCTGAAATACCTTATCCTCCTGGGGTATTCTTTACTTCAAAGTCTTTCATCCTTTTAATGTGAAATCATTGTATTCAGTGATTTTGAGCACAGAGGGCACCTATTCTAAACCAAATCACATGAGACAATGTTTTCAGATACCTGTAGAAGTACAATAAAATCTTTATTAATATAAAAGTTTAAAAAATGGAGTATTTGGGTGATTTTCCTAGATAACTAAAAGAAAAGAAAAAGAGTAAAACCCTTTGTTTCTGAATGTACTTTTTCATGTATTAATTAACTTTCCTGCCTAAGTAAGTACAGCTATATTCTGCAGGAATTCAGCATCCTGGAGTACGGTACTATCATTCTGAAAATATCACTGTGACGTGCACAGTGCATGGGAGTCTGGGCTGAACGTAAATAACAGCTCATTATGCCCAGAAGAAATTTTTGAATACAGTGTTGTCGCTAGCCTCATTGTTTTAAAACATATTGGGTACAGGAAATGGAGATTCTCATAATAGTTTATGAAAATACCGTGCCCTTATCAAGCGCCATAAAATATTTTAATCTATTTTTTATGTATAAAAATATCACAATTTCATTTTCCCTAAAATCACTTTGTTTTCTAGTTGAAGCAGAACATCAATATGAAAGATCAGCTGTCAGACATAGAGAGAATCATCTGTGGGTGCCCGGTATGTATTCTGATGCACTTGCTCCATCTCAGGCTCATGAATTATAACCTCAAGTCACTGGCAAAAATGAGACATACAGATTTTGATTCAGCTAACATCCATTGAGTGCCTGCTGTGTGCCAGGGGCTGCCAAGCTCTCATATTCCACATCCCTGTTATTGGCAAGGATGCTAGATGAGAAGAGGCACAAGTGGTCTTGACACCATCCCATAACTTCTCTGCAGTCTTAGCACCTTTCTTGGGACTACTGTGATCATGACCCCCTTTGAGGAATGGGGCCGTGTCTTTACTGTTTTATATCTCCCTGCACATAGTATCTGGTGCAGGATTCTGCCCACTGAGGACATCAGCGGGAATCCTAGAAGTCCTCTGCTGGCTATCTGTTACCTACGGAATATCATCTGGTCCCATTCCACCCTCCTTCTCACTGCCTCGCCTACCACCTTATGATCAAACCACATAAATCTACTCACAGTTCTCTAATAACGTGAGCCTCTCTTCACACATTTGTGCCTTGCCCATGCTCTTCCTTCTCAGAAATTGCCTTCTTTTTCTACTCCACTGGATAAACTCCTATTCATCCTTTTAAGATCCATTTCAATCTTTGTCAGCTTTGTAAAGTATCCCACAACATCTCCAGTGTGAGCTGCCCCTTCCTAGGTATTCTGCAGCACCCTGAAGGTCTCTGCCACGTTTTCCTTCAGCCCTTTATTCACAAGATTGGGAGCTCCATCAGGTATGAACTATGATTTACATGTCTTCTAGTATTCAGCATATACTAGGAGTTCAATATATGAATTATATTGAATTAAAGTATCAGTTGACTGGAAGTGTTATTGTTATTTGCTCAAACTGGGGAAGCAAGGTGGAGTTGTTTGGGCCTAATTTAGATCTGCACATTTTGATAGGGAAAGAGGTGGAGTTGATTGGATTACAGAAAATCCAAAATCTTGGAACTCACAGAGCCCACAGAACTTTACCTTTGGATCACTATACACATCAAGTGATCATCTCCATGGCTAGATCAGTAAAAGGGCCTGACTTCTTAATTTGTAACATTTCATTCACCTCCTTTTCTCCATAGATCCCTTCTGACTCACCCCACCTCCACCTTATTTTTGATGCTAGGAAAGCATTTATAAAAAAACAATGTTTTCAATAGTTTAAAAATTAGACTACACCCTCAAATATAGTTTTCACTGTTTCACAAACAATGCTTTTTCATAACTGAACTGAGTTCTACTCAACACTTACATCTTCTGGGATATAAAATGGTTCTTCAGTAGTGGAAATTATTTTCTAAAAATTTATATATTTCTAATTTTGTTTTTTATTTCATAGACTCTATCAGAAGTAAACAGATATCTGATTAGGGTCCAAGATGTAGCCCAACTTCACTGCTGTGATGAGGAACTAAGTTTCTCTTTAAGGTAAATATCTAACTATCCTATGGCTGTGACTGTGTCATATTTATCTTGTACCCAGAATCCAGTACGCCTGTCATATTGTAAATTTACGATAAGTCTTTGTGTTGAACTAAAAAGTTACACACACACCCCTCTCTGAGACGAAGTAAGGTGTTTTATCACCTTACTCGCATACCAGGCAGCTACTGGGTAGAATGGAAGAAACTAAATTGTCATTGCCGGGACCACTAACTCCACTGAAAGAGGAATTCTGAAGTTTGGTCACTTTCCTATTGAGAGGAGAGCCAAGTGTTGCCGGGTATCACATGGATGATCTGCTCAACTCTGAGAAAGAGAAGACCAGTTGATTATCCGCAGTTAGTTACTGAGGTCAGTATTCAGAAGGTCTCACCCTAAGACCACCATGGTATTGAGGTCTCACATATCTAGTTTGTACAGTGCTCACAGTATAAGAGCTATTGTGACGAGAGGGTGCTAGCATTCCCTTTCCTCCTTTAGAACAAGGATGGGCAACCTTTTTCTGTAAAGGGGCAGATGGTAAGTATTCTAGGTCTTTCTTGCTGAATGATCTCTGTGGCAACTACCTAACTTTGCTGTTGTAGCACAAAAGCAGCTACCTAAATACAGTACATAATGAATACAATCTTCAAAAACAATACAATACCTAAGTGAATGAGTGTAGCTGTGTTCCAATAAAACTTTATTTACAGAAGACAAGGGGTGGGGCTGTAGTTTTTCAATTCCTGCTTTAGAAACTTGTTTGCCAATCTATGTTTTCAGTATTAATGGCAAAGATGATAACTCAACAAAGAGCAACCAAATGGAGAGGAATTAACTGCAATAAAAGAAATGAAAATTGGTTTGCCTGTTATTTCAATGAATATTTCAGTGAATGTTTCCCAAAGGCCCAGGGCAGGGTGGTGGCAGTGGCAGGGGAGGGGGGAGGTTGGAAGAAACCAGTCCCTTCCAGTCCCTTCACCTCATCCCCACCTGGAGTGGATATTAAATGAAAATCAAATCACACAGTTGTGTCACTTTTCTCATTGTCATGGTGTTTTTGTTTTGTTTTGTTGTTTTTGGTCAGTAGCAATAGAAATGAGCTACAATGGTAGAAGGAAACTAGCTGTCAAGCCAGCAATTCTAAACGCACTGGTGTAGTAGGAGACATGCTAGGGATTATTCCAGTTTTTATTATTAGAATTTATTTTACCTTCATATATTCATTCTCAAACACTCTTGCTTTATGTAAGTCTAAGTTTCTGACTTATATAATTTACCTTTTCTCTGAATAACTTCTTTTAACATTTCTTGCTAGGTAGGTAGATCTGTTGGCAATGAATTCCCTCAATGAATTCCCTCCCTTTGTCTGAGAATGTCTTTATTTCTCCTTCACTTCTCTTTTTAGATTTTTTTTAAAAATGTGGACCATTTTTAAAGCCTTTATTGAATTTGTTACAATATTGCTTATATTTTATGGTTTTTTTGTTTTTTTTGTTTTTGCTGTGAGGCATGTGGGATCTTAGCTCCCCAACCAGGGATCAAACCTGCACCCCCTGCATTGGAAAGTGAAGTCTTAACCACTGGACCGCCAGGAGGAAGTCCCTCTCCTTCACTTTTTTTTTTTTTTTTTTGCGGTACGTGGGCCTCTCACTGTTGTGGCCTCTCCCTTTGCGGAGCACAGGCTCTGGACACGCAGGCTCAGCGGCCATGGCTCACGGGCCCAGCTGCTCTGCAGCACGTGGGATCTTCCTGGACCGGGGCACGAACCTGTGTCCCCTGCATCAGCAGGCAGACTCTCAACCACTGTGCCACCAGGGAAGCCCCTCCTTCACTTTTAAAAAAAAAATTAATTAATTTTTGGCTGCGTTGGGTCTTCGCTGCTGGGTGCAGGCTCTCTCTAGTTGCGGTGAGTGGAGGCTACTCTTTGTTGCAGTGCGCAGGCTTCTCACTGCGGTGGCTTCTCTTGTTGTGGAGCACGGGCTCTAGGCACATGGGCTTCAGTAGTTGCGGTGCGTGGGCTCAGTAGCTGTGGCTCACGGGCTCTAGAGCGCAGGCTCAGTAGTTGTGGCACACAGGCTTAGTTGCTCTGCGGCATGTGGGATCTTCCTGAACCAGGGCTCGAACCCGTATCTCCTGCATTGGCAGGCGGATTCTTAACCATTGCACCACCAGGGAAGTCCCCTCTCCTTCACTTTTGAAGGATACTTTTTCTGGCTACAGAATTCTAGTTTGGTGGGTTTTTTCTTTCAACACTTACTTCACTCCCCTCTCTTCTTGCTTGCATGGTTTCCAAAGAGACATCCAGTGTAATCGTTACCTTTGTTCCCCTATAAGAAAGATGTTTCATTTTGTTTTGTTTTTCATTGTTGTCTCTGGATACTTTCAAGATTTTATCTTTCTCTTTGATTTTCTCGAACTTGTATGTGATATGTATAGATTTGGGGGGATTTATCCTTCTTGGTATTCTCTAAGCTTCCTGGACCTATGGTTTAGTGCTTGTCAATAATTTTGGAAAATTCTCAGCCATTATTACTTCAACTATTTCTTCTGTTTCATCCTTTTTCTTCTCCATCTGATATTCCCATTAGACATTTCTACACCCATTGTAATTGTCCCACATCTTTTGGATATTCTGCTCCCTTCTTTTTTACTCTTCTGTTTTCTTTCTATTGATGTAGTTCAGGCTCACTGATCCTCCCCTTGGCTATGTCCAGTCTGCTGAGGAGCCCAGCAAAGGCATTATTCATTTCTATTATGGTGTTTTTGATTTCTAGAATTTCTTTTTAGTTCTTTCTTGGAATTTCCATCTCTCTGTTTATATTACCCATCTGTACTTACATGTTGTCCACTTTTTCCATTAGAGTTCTTAACTTAGCTTATCTTAGTTATTTTAAACTCCCTGGTCTGATAATTCTAACAACATTTCTACCATATCCGAGTTTGGTTCTGCTGCTTGCCATGTTTTACCAGACTGTGTTTTCCTGCCTCTTAGCATGCCTTATAATTTTTTTGTTGAAAGCTAGACATGATGTATTGGATAAAAGGAATGAGGTCAATAGGTCTTTAGTATGAAGTTTTACATTTATCTGGCTAAATGTTAGCCTGTATTTACCATTTGTTGTAGCTGTGGTGTCAGAGGCTAAAATTTTCATTTTTGTCTCCCCTGTTGTCTTTGGGTTTTCCTAGATATTCCTTAAATAGGATTTGAACCTTGCAGTCCTCTTCAGCTATAATACCTTGTTATTATAAGTCCTGTTGATGTGGTAGGAAGATGTGAGGGGAAGGGAAGAGTTGTATGTCCTATCATTAGGTCTCAGGTTTTTAGTGAGACTGTAGCCCTGGGCTATGACCTTTACAAGTGTCTATCAGCTTTTTTACTTTTATTATTTTATTATTATTATTATTGTTAGTCACCTCTAAGATGAGACAGGACGGTTAGAGGTAGCTGTGGGATTGGGTATTTCCCTTTCCTCATCTTGGTTAGATTCTGGTAAAATTGTTTCCCTTGAAGGCAGGCCTTTGTTAAGAGAATAGAATAGGACTCTGTGGGCATGTTTCAAATGGTTACTTTCTCCCTCTCCATGGGAAGAATGAGGGTATTTTTCTGAGTTTCACAGTGAGAAGCTGGTGAGGTTCCTGAAGGTAAAACTCCTGCAAGTTTTAAACTCATGCAAGGGTGCGGGGGTGTGGTGTGGGCCAGTGCTAGGCCTCCAGGAATTCGTAATCTCTTGAACTAGTTCACACTCAGGCTCTAGCAATTAGTCAACTACCCTTTAATATTCTTACCTGATGCTGGCTGCAACAGCAGTTTCTGCTTTCAGTAAGCTGTGATTCTACGTATCAGCTTGTCTCTTCAGCTTTGGGGTGGTAATCTACTTTATAACCTCACTTCTTCGATGGATCTAAGAAGAATTGTTGACTCTGAGTTTTCAGCTTCCTTTTTGTCGTGCGATGCAAGTGATGACTTCCAAGCTCTTTACACGTCCAATCGGAAGTCTCAAATATTAGAATTTAGACTTCTGCTTTAGTATTTGGACAACAGTACATTTGAGAGTTTCAGGAAAACAGGAATACTACATTATTTTACACTCTAATTACAAGGTACATTTATGTTTAAGTAGGCACTATCTCAGTGATTTGCCAAGCAATAAATACAAATGTAATTTTACATTAATATTTAAATTAAGTAAATGCAAAAAAGGTTCATATTCCAAAAGTTATCACAGAACATTTAGGCTGAAACCTTGTTTTCTGTCATTTTAGGAAGTCATATGAAACCCAAGAAATGACATTCCCATGATTTCTATCAGGGATTTCTACTTAGAAGAAAGTCTGCTTATATTTTTGCACACAGTGCCAACTCACATGAGTCTAAAGCTTTATAGTTTACCACATATTTTAACTTCTCTCATTTGATATACTCTTTACAATCATTTGGTGAGGAAGGTAGGAATGGAACCATGTTATGCGTGGGGAATCTGGACTTGAGTAACTTGTCTGAGGTCACATTACTAGTAAGTGCTTGTTTAGAATTCAAAACCAGGTCTCAGTGTTCTATCCACTGATTAGACCAGCAGGTGGAAAGATGAACTGAGACTTCCTCATAATAAACTCACCAACACAGCAAAAAGTACTAAACAAATTACCAATAAACAAGAGCAGTGACACAAAAAGAGCAAGTAAATATTTGTACTATAAATGAAAAAATTTGCTCTGGGGTAGAGATGAAGTCGCAGTCCTTTTAGAGTTAGGGAATCTGGAGGCATTTTTCCCTCTCTGGATACAGCCTTCAGAGTTCTGGGTTTGTTAAGCTTTTATAATACATTATGTACCTTGGAATTTTTATATTATTGTTTTTTTCAGAAACACCAATTTTCATCTATGTGACTTTAAGCTTGCTGATTTTTAGCATTTTTGTTTATTTTTGTTCTCCTTCTAATGGGGGTGTCGCCAAAGATGCAAAAGTGGAGCCCTCTAAGACTGGTGAATACAGGCATGGCTTTAAATCACCAAATAGAGCCATCCACTTCTCAGACCCCCGAGTCCTCTTGAGGAAGAACACTACTACACTACCGAGCATGCATACTGTTAACATTCCTTTTGGCTTACCCAAAGGGACCTAGAGTCATTTACCAGGGCAACTAGGCACTGGGGAAAGAGAAATACCCAGACTTCTCAGGGATACTGGACTCTGGCTCTGAATTGATTTTTATCCTGGCAACCCAAGAAGCCACAATGATCCACCATTCAGAGTTTTGGCTCAGGTCCGCTCACAGAACCAATGACCTACTGTTGTCTGTTCATGCCAAAGTTGTGCTCTGAAAATTACTTTCAAAGTTTTATGTATTTATGGAAGTTGGGTACTTTGTCTCTTGGTCTGGCTAATGTAGTAATTAAACAACAAAACACTTCTTGAATGGTGTTAAGAATTTAAACTATGGTTGGCTGACTCACTGAGCCTATTTGTGAATTAGCAAAGAAATCCTATCCAAGTTCAAGGAAAGAACTCTAACCTTGGAGTTGGTTCCTTTGAATGTGAGCAGAAGCAGCTTTATGAAACCCTAGTAGGATCCAGAGCTCCCATTTCAGTTGCTCCATTATGTCGGTATGAAGGGCAAAATTACTTGTTTTTACACGTGCAGAAGAACTAAGTTTTTTAAAAAAGATTCTGTTGTTTTTTGTCTTTGGATGAAAATTACTGGAGATCTTGGGGGGGGTGTAAATGGCTTTCGGAAAGCTTTATTGTAGGTAAAATTCATTTATATATAATTTAAATAGCACTTTCCTAATCAGATTAAAATAATAAAAACCTCTTTGTGCGTTTATCTTTCCCTTCTCATGTCCTCAGATTACAAGTGGCCTCAACTCCAAGCTCAAGTTAATGTGCCTGCTCCTTCCCTCCTCTGGGCCATCCACCCAACCAGTCCAAGTGGGTCACAAAACTAGAATTCTCCTTCATTTACCTCTACTTTCAATGCTGTCCCTTCCACAGGAAAAAAACAAACATCTGTTTATCAAGCAAACACCCCTTTCAAAGCTACTTCTTCAAAACACTCTTGTAGGCACATTCCCTGGTCATTCAGATAGAACGGCAAAGTTTTATTATAGCTTTGAACATTTTTCTAAAATGATATCATGATTCTTATCAGTAGTAAAAATATTGCCAAAAAAGGGTCAAGAATATGGGTGAAGTTCTTCTGCCTATTTAAAGTGGCCATTCACCATATACAGCCCACCACACACCGATTTAAACACACCCCATCTTTCTTGATTCCCCTCTCCCTCATCCCTAGCTCTATGTGCTCCATTATTCTCAGAATAACCTATCAAATTGATCTAGAACATTATTTCTTATAAACTATGAGTAAATATGAAGCATCCCACTCCTTCCAGCCTAAATAATCACAGAGGTGGGAAGGAAATGTTTGAAAAAGGAAGTTAGCTCCAGTGGTTGGATGACCACTGCACTTCTATCTATCCGCACACCTAACGTGACCTGTATTTCCTAACACGCTCCAAAGAGCTGAACCTGAAGTATAGCACTCCTTAAAAATGTTTAACTCCCGATCTAGTCCTCTGCCTACGTCACACACATGACTAATAAATAAACAACTTAAGTGCCTCACTAGTCAAAGTGTGGTCGGCATATCAGCATCACCCAGGAGCTGTTAGAAATGCAGAATCTCAGGCTAGTCTAGCTCTACCGAATCAGAATTTGCATCTTAATAAAATCTCTGGGTAATTCAGATGCACATTAAAGTTTGTACTATATATGTCAGAGCCATTATAATACAAAGTGGATTCTAAATGTGAATTATAGCAGCTTTTATTGAGAACAACCTGGAAGTCTTTGATAAAAATATATATGCCATTTGGCCAGTCAATCCTACCCTTGGGAATCCTGATAGAAGTAACAGCACATGTAAGGAATTTGTTTATATGTAAGGAAATCGATTTATCCCAACATTGCTCACAGTGGCAATTAAGAAAGAACAAATGAAAGGAGGAAGACAGAGAGGGAGGGAAGGAGGGAAGAAAGAGACCTGAGCTTGTCAACAAAGCAAATGCCCATCAAACGGGGAAGAGTCGGATAAATCATGGTTCATCCACACTATTAAGTATCACTTAGTCATTAAAAAGAACTTGAGGTGATTTCCATTGATGAGAAAATCAAGAAAAAATTCTCGAATAATACTTGAAACAATGGCACCCTACCTGTAAATAGATGTATATACAGGTACATCTGTGAGTGACTACCTGGGCAGGTTAAAGAAAAGTGGAAAGATGTGCACTAGGGTGACCTGAGTGGAGGGAGGAGTGAGCCAAGCAAAAAGAAAAAGTGAAACAAAAGAACAGTACACGAAAAAAGCTGATAGTATATTCTGATGTTACTTTAGCATTGCTGTAAAACTTTATGTGGATCTAAATCAACAACTTTAAAATTAAACAAAGACGATGAAGATAAAAAATAAGAGAATTCCTCTGAATAAGCCAGTAAATTGACTCATTTCCTCACAGTAGCTTCCTGTGGGTTGCTTGATGCTTCTCAGCAAAACATATTTTTTTTCAGTCATCCTCCATCAAAAAAAATGAGCTTGCTGTACTTGGCCATTCCTGGTGGGGGGTGAAGATGGGCGGGGCTCGGTGGGGCTCCCCGAAGCTCCTCCCTAGCACATCACTTGATGCTGCATTGAGTACTGACATGAGATAACCCATACTAGAGTACAGTGAAACCTACTAAACACTGTGACCTGGGTCCACCAACAGAAGATACTAGATGGAGGTTAGGGACACAATATTTTGCCTGCTGATAAACATGCCTACCGTTGACCATGGTAGCAACCCCTGTGGAAATGAAGAGCTACTTAATTCCAGCTTTTCATACTTATCAATTTTCCTCCAATCAAAATTAGAAAAATCCCTATTTCCTATTTAGTGAATGCTTTTCTTTCCCCTGCTTCCTACTTAAGACACCTTGCACCTTACTGATTCTTGTGCTTTTTTCTAACCCAACGTGTTACCCTTAAAGATGAAACCAAACCAAATGAAAACGTATTTTCCCCAGATTGCCTAAATACATCAACACGAAATACCAACCTTCTGACAAAAGTTTAAAAACACAGCTTTAACCTGATTCATGTCATAAAGTTGGGAAAGTGCAGTGTTCATTCTTCCTGCATTGATTGGATACTTGTCCAATGGATAAGCTCAAACCATTTCACCAGGAACCTTGAGGCCCACCCACATGACTGGTCTGAGAGACAGAGGGACTATTCACACCAGGAGGAAAATATACAGAGAACTTCAATAAGCCATTCAAAAGGTCTGAGGTAGGGAAGAACCTTGACTATCAGCTTATGAGCGTAAAGATGGTGAACTGTGTAACAAAACACGTATGTACAACTTCTAAAACTGCTCCTTCTCTTTTTAAACCCAGGCTCTATGAACATACCTGTGATCTCAGTCTTTTCCTCTTCAACGATGCACTGCTTGTTTCTAGTGGGGGCACATCTCGTACTCCGTTTGAAAGGACTTCAAAATCAACCTACCAGTTCATTGCATCAGTGGCCCTTCACAGACTACTCATCGAAGATATTCCAGATTCCAAATGTATGTATTCTTTTCCTCCCAAGAGTTAAATACCTTTAGAAAGCTACATTATATAAAACATATTAACTATTAAAATAGAGAAGCAGGACAAGAACTAGAATTTGACAGCTTGCAAATAATTTCCCAAATACTTCTAGGGTCTCATTAATGTAAACTTTCATCTACCTCTAAAATAGCAAAAGAAAGGAATGCTGGCATTATCAGACACACACCCTAGACATTAAGAAAACAGCTTTCAAAAATCACAAAGGGGGCTTCCCTGGTGGCGCAATGGTTGAGAATCTGCCTGCTAATGCAGGGGACACGGGTTCGAGCCCCGGTCCGGGAAGATCCCACGTGCCGTGGAGCAACTAGGCCCGTGAGCCACAACTACTGAGCCTGCGCGTCTGGAGCCCGTGCTCTGCAACAAGAGAGGCCGCGAGAGTGACAGGCCTGCGCACCGTGATGAAGAGTGGCCCCCGCTTGCCACAACTAGAGAAAGCCCTCGCACAGGAATGAGACCCAACACAGCAAAAATAAATAAATTATTAAAACTCCTACCCCCAACATCTTAAAAAAAAAAAAATCACAAAGGGAAACCACCCTACATCATTGTGAAGGATTCTTTGAAGTAATCTGACAGGAGAGCTGGAGTCCTTAACCATTACTCTATTTTGCTTGAGGATGTTACAATTTTAGGTTTTTATCTATTATTTTTCCATTCTACTAGGACTAAGTGATTTTTGCAGATCTGACTGTACCTCTTCTTCCGTAAGTTCATATTTAAGAGTTCTTGTATAAAGGATCGATTTGTAAAGGGTATTTAATAACAAACATTTCATTCATAATAATCTCAACAAATATCATTTGTTACAAAAAGAAATCCTACTTAAACCTACTGTACCTATTTTTAGTTTTTATCTTACATTCTACTTCCCAATCTTAAAAGGATCCGTATCTCTTTCCTATATTTCTGTTAGGCCAGGCAATCTGAATGTAACACCTCTCATTCCAATATTCTTCACTGCATGTGAAGGTAGAACTTAAGGTTAAAGCCAGAACCAAGATCTTAGAGAAGGAATTTATCTAAAAAGGTCTGCTTCCCATTAGCTTCAGCTCCATTTAAAATCTGAGGATGAGAAAAAATGAACACTAAATGTGGGAATAAATATTTCACCTAGAAGACAAACTCAGCTAAGAAGGGTTAGTTAACCATAACATGTATGACATGTCTCCTTTCACCTCCCCTTAATCAGTTATGCTATATGTCAGAACATCATAATGTTAGCTAAAAGTGGGCATTCAGCTAAGTCACTGGCTTAATTCTGTCCTGGCCTCATACCAAGATGGCCTAGGTCTAGCTCTCAGCATTTCTTATCTACAGTTAACTCTTAGTAAAGACCTTTACTGGTTCCAGTACCTTCTGGAATTAAAGAACATTGCATCGTCTACCACTTAGTCTTTAAAAATAATTGCTAATTATAATTAAACAATTATAATGTAAAGATAAGACTATTTTAGACTATATTTGAATAATTCAGTAATTTAGGAAGTTATTTTCTAAACTGGATTTGTATTTGTTTGAATCTTTTTAATTTTCAAAAAATTCTTCAAGATGACTTGAATTTTAAAACATTTTCTCCTTTTGATTTTTACCTGCAAAGACTAATTAGTGTACCTCAAATGTTTTTTTTTATAGATATCAAGGAATGCATTTATTCTTCAAGGTCCAAAGCATGAATGGATTTGTGCTACAGAAGTTGAGGATGATAAATTCCTGCGGTTGTCAGTACTCCAAAATGCCATCGAAAGTAGTATGGAAAAGTGAGACTGGACTTAAAACACTGGGAGTTCCAACCTGCCCTGGCAAAGACAGACAGCATGTTATTTTCTGTTCCAGAAGATCCAGTAAGGAGCAGAATGATTATTTGTCATGGATGATGGGAGGATGAACTAGGATGACCCATAAAGCTCTTCCTAACTTTTAAACTTCATCATCTATGCTCAATTATGTGAAATGCACAGTAAGAAAAATTTGAGTACGATATTTTGAACCACTTCTTTTGGTAGTTATTTTTCATGAACAGTATTATTTAGAGTAATCTGACCGACAGAACCTAAGACTGAATAAGGATATTGGGTATTTAAAGTTTTGTTTTCCGATCTAATGAAAAATAAAGTCATAATGAAAAGTGTTTCTTAAATGATCAGAGAAATGTCTTTATCTGTTGGTGATTTACCAATTATCTTTAACATTTTCATGAAATAGTTATGGATTTAAAAAATATGTATAAGAAATATAACTGGGGGCTTCCCTGGTGGCGCAGTGGTTGAGTGTCCGCCTGCTGATGCAGGGGGACACGGGTTTGTGCCCCGGTCCGGGAAGATCCCACATGCCGCGGAGCAGCTGGGCCCATGAGCCATGGCCGCTGAGCCAGCGCGTCCAGAGCCTGTGCTCCGCAGCGGGAGAGGCCACAGCAGTGAGAGGCCCGCATACCGCAAAAAAAAAAAAAAAAAAAGAAATATAACTGGTACTTTATTTAAAAACTTGTCACATATATCCTTAATATAAATGTACTCCTCCAGAGAGCATTAAAAATATACCACTATACAGTACTAAAAATTTTTCTGTAACTTTTAAGCGGTCTTTTTTTGCAAAATTAAATTCTTAGACCTTCCAAATAAAAAGATTAAAAAATTTGTTACACTGTTAAATTAGAAGGCTGTTTGGCAGGGGGTGTGGGGAGGTACCTTTGAAAAAACAAAACTTGCCTGTAATGGAATTTTGCTGAGTAAAAAAATGAAGAAATTAAGACAACTGTTTTAAAACAGAGAAAAATAAAAATAGGTATTGAGTAGTTTTCTGGGCGCTTAAAGCCTTCATTTAATTATTTAATAAACTGAAGCTATAACCTGTTAGCCACTTTGAAACTTTAGCTGATATATGCAGTAGTAAAAATATTTTTACTTAATAATGGTAGATAAAGTTGTATTAATCTAGGAAGCTTTTGGTTGTCAGTCTCCTTTTTGCTTCACATTCTCCTTTAAGGAAATGAAATTTACTAGTACAGTCTAGGATTGTGAACTAGGCTATTTTAAACATTTTCTTCTTTCAACAAAATACAAATTCCTTCTAATTCTTAAAAATTTAAACTCTTGTTAAAAAATGTACAAAAGTTAAAATACTGTTTTTATTAGTGTAAAATCACACTTTTGATTCTTTTATGATATATCCATGCAGCTTAACATCTATGATGCCACACACAGAAGAAAACGTTAAAGGAATATCTGCTGTTAGTCAGCAATAAATGCAAACTTACAAATGTGATCAAAATGAAAATATCATCTAATACAAAACAAATCCTGAGACGCTACATTATCCTGAATAGGACAAACTTCAGAAACTCTTTGTTAACAGGAAAAACCTCTCTCTATGGCAAAAGAATGAGTAACAAGATAGCTCAAGATAAACTAGAAATCTTAAGGAATTTCCATTTATTCTGTGAATAATTAAGGTCCTCAGAAATTTTAAAACATATTACTTGAAAAAACTTGTAGAGGCTGATGAGCATAAGCTTCTAATTGAGAGTTAAGTACATAAATCATGCAAAAAGTGGTGATGTTTGCAAATGGACAGTACTTACGTTGTCTATGGTGTCAACACTTTCCCTTTGCTTCTAGGGGACAATTTTAAAAGGCCTGTCTTCACAGTTAATTTGTAAGTTTACATGACTGCTGTGGAATTAAAATCTCACACACAAGCAAGTTTAAGTCACAGGTGAAACTGATCAAATTTTCACAAGGAAAACAAAATCTGCCCCCCAAGTTGATGTGGAAAAGTCTGAAAGTACCATGTGACTCTTGAAGAATGTTAATTATGGCAGAGCTTATGGTTAACGAATGCCTTATACCATATAGTTCTTTCAAATCAAAAATTAAATAGGAAACGCATTTTAAAGATTTTTGGATTCTTTATGTTAAGTACTAAACCTAAAGACAAACTGACAGTTTATTTAATTTTGTCTCCTTTTGTAAATATTTCTGAGTCTGTGCTCGAGGTGTAAATGAGAAGCCCGTTCTGTAAATCCAAGCAGTGAGCGGTTCTGGCCACATAAGTATAATGGACCAATGTTATGTACTCCTAACGCTACGGAGCAACAAGGGTGGGCTGTGCCAACAAACACAACATACCCTCCACGAAGTCATCCTGACCCTTTTATTGTTGCAATTAAAAAATAAAAGGTACTTAAATACAATGGTGAACACATAGGGCGAAACAGAATCATAAAATTTAATGTTGAATTAAGCAGTGAGCTGAACGTTTGGGTCTCCAAATTGGCTTTGAACCCAAAACCGCTTAAAAATGGGTATGTTCACAGTTAACGGCAATTGGCTTATAGGTGAGAGAATGGTCGAAGCTGTTCCAGTTGAACTTCCAGGGAAATTCTCTCCTCAAGAACATCCTGAAAAAGATGCAAAGCCAAGTTACGTTTCAACATGTATAAAAATGAAGACACATCTAACAGCGGCTCTGCATTCAGTAAAACAATTTAAATTTGTTAAGAAGAGGAAGGACAACTTCATATTTTAAAAGGATACTTTACTTTAGAGATGTAGTTTCTTTATATGTATGTAATGTTAAAATGTGATCTTAATTAAATCTTTATTTCTTAAGTCAGGGTAATAAAATGTTTTTTGTTTCATTATCAGAAAAGCCAATATTTGCAAATGATAGTTACTGATGCATGAATTTTGCATGACGCCTACCCCCTGTAGTAACCGTAGATGAATCAGTTAACACAGATTCTTTCCCCTGGTGATTACATCTGGTCATAACGACTCCTGAACCACCTTTTGAGTTTCAGTTTCACAATGAATAAATGTATTTTGTAATCAGAATTTCTAATTACTGTTGATTTTGAGCAGACTTTTCAGATAGCCCACAACTTCTAATTCATCCATTTTCCTTTTTTCTTTTTCTCTATCATACTAATAGTATAGTGTTTTAACCAGGATGACCTCTTCCTATTTGGTACCATACTTCCTATTTTCTGTCCTCAGAGATAATGAGAAAAGTGATTTTTAAAATAGCTCCTATATACATGTTGCTATGATTTTCCTTAGTTCTTCAGAAAAACATGCATTAATAAAACTTTCATCTTTGAGGTATGGTACTAGCAAGCCTGTCATGAGTTTTACATTCTTCCTTTACAGTGGACCAAATTCATAATCATAGAACAGCTATGAATATATTCTTTGATCAGAGAGTTATACAAGAATATTATTCCTTTAACATACATTTATCAAATGCCTAACATGTGCGAGGTTTTGGGGACAGAGACAAGATAGTTACAAATCTATCTAGGACAGTCTCAGTTTATCTCTCATGTCCTGGCCTATTAACACATCTCTCTCTTTTCTCTCAAAAGTACCTTGGTTTGGGGACTTCCCTGGTGGTCCAGTGCTTAAGACTCCGTCTTGCAGTACAGGGGACACCGGTTCAATCCCTGGTTGGGAAACTAAGATCCCACATGCTGCGGGGCAATTAAGCCCGTGTGCCGCAACTAGAGAGCCCACGTGCCACAACTACAGAGCCCATGTGCTCTGGAGCCCACACGCTACAGCTAGAGAAGTCTGTGCACCACAACAAAGCGAGGTGCCCGCACGCTGCTACAAAAGATTCCGCATGCTGCAACTAAGACCGACGCAGCCAGAAAAAAAAAAAAAAAAAAAAAATGTACCTTGGTTTGAACATTATATGGTCACCCTAAACAGAAATGATCATGGTTTACCCTCAACAAGTTCAGTTTTACTAGGACAGAGAGACAAATGTGCCATAGATATGGACAATGTGATAAAGGCTAGATAAGGAATATGAAAAGAATGTTATGGGACTCAATAACTCTGTATTCATTTTACATTTCAATGGATTCTTTCCTCATCTTTGTGGTTTACAACCTTGCTACTCAAAGTGGAGCCAAAAGTCCAGCAGCATCTTCAGCACCTGGAAGCTTATTAGAAATTGCAGAATTCTCAGGTCCCACTCCATACCTGATATAAATCAAAATTTTCATTTTAACATGACCCCTAATTAAGCATATATACATTAAGGTTTGAGAACCACTGGTTTATAAGACATGAATGCTTAATAATGTTGATGAGTCATAAATGATTCTGGCTGTTAGCTTTTTTTGTAGGGATTCAAAGAAATCATGGTTAGTAGTAAGTAAGAAAAACAAACTCATTCCTCTCAAGTACAGATGACAGGAGTACACACTGGCGCTAAGCACCATTTCTATTTAAGGCTTGTCTTTTCTACTTTAGAGATGATCTAAATTGCCCCCATCCCTCATCTTTAGACCTGTTTAAGTCATTTTAATAGAATCTGAGTTGTCTTTGATAAAAGAGTAAATTAACAATACTCAAATCATTTTAGAATTAGAGTGTAGAGAGCCACACATGTGATACTGGAGGTATCCGAGGTCACAACATTTCTGCTCTTGGGTCTCATTATGAAAGTTAAACATTTTAGGAATATGATGCCTTATATACATGTAGGATAAGGCAATCATACCAGAATTGAGTACAGGAAATTCTTTTTACTATTAAAGGACTCAAAGGCATATAAAACACTTCAGATCTACACTTCTCTTGCTACGTGTAAAGTTTCATACTAGCGTTAAGAATTGCTGGATCTCCTCCAAGTTCCAGTTCAACACTAAGAGGCTCTGAGTCCATGGAACTTCCCAAATAAAGATTCAGAAACTACATTACCTTTAATTGTTGCTGCAATTCACTATTCAATCTGGCCAAAACTGTGTTGGTTTCCTTATTGCGTCTAATTGACGCCTGAATAGCTTTCTTATCTTTTCCAACAGACCTGAGAAGATAAAAAAAATTACCTTCATTTTTTATCTTTAAATTCTCTCCATTCTTCCCTGATCTCTAAACCCAGAATGCAGAGGAAGCATCTTTGCCTTGTTAGCATAGCTCAACCTCACTTGCTCAGTTTTAATGCTCCACCAAAAGTATCTAAGCTTCAGAGGCTTAATTATTGTAGTTGTTGTTTTAATGATTATTCTGTACAATTACCTGAGTTTAAGTCAGTCTAGAGCAAGCATCAGCAAACTTTTTCTGTAAATGGTCAGACAGTTAAGTATTTTCTTTGCAGGCCATACCATTTGTGCTGAATGTTCTTCTTTTTTTTGTATCTTTTCTTTTTCTCTTCTCTTTTTTACAAAAATGTAAAAGCCCATTCTTAGCTCACGGGCCTTACAAAAACAGGCCATGGGCTGACTTTGGCCCATGAGCCCTCGTCTGCCAATTCCTGGTCTACAACTACCATAGTTAAAACATCAGTGTTACTGTGCACTGTAATTTTTTTTAAAGGTTAAGATTTTTTTAAAAAAATTTTATTATATTTTATTTTTGGCTGCGTTGGGTCTTCGTTGCTGTGCCTGGGCTTTCTCTGCTTGCAGTGAGCGGGGGCTACACTTCGTTGTGGTGCATGGGCTTCTCAGTGCAGTGGCTTCCCCTATTGTGGACCACGGGCTCTACGTACGCAGGCTTCAGTAGTTGTGGCTCGCGGGCTCTAGAGCGAAGGCTCAGTAGTTGTGGCGCACGGGGTTAGTTGCTCCGCGGCATGTGGGATCTTCCCAGACCAGGGATTGAACTCGTGTCTCCCGCGTTGGCAGGCGCATTCTTAACCACTGCGCCAGCACAGAAGTCCCTGTGCACTATAATTTTTAAAGTCTGCTCCAGGATTTGCAATAGAGTGTAAAAATGGAATGGGAATTGAACTTAAAAATAGAAGGGAAAAAAGTGGGAAGAATATTCTACCCGCTCAAAAATGAGAAAACTCTCAAAGAGGAGCAGTGAAAGCCTATGCTCACCTACAGGACTAGTCTGACCATAATTCCTTTCAGTTTGATATTTTTAATTGCTGTGCTTTTTGTTTCTAGTAGTTACATGTGTTTAGGAATGGCTTTGATTACCTAGGAATAGAAGGTTGTGATGCAAGAACAGCAGCTAGGACACCTGTCTTTTGTGTATGTTCATCAACTTCTGGCCTTAATTCATCTTCTGATTTTAATCTCCTTCGAACAGGTTTAGGTGGTGGAGCAAGAGGTGTTGTGCCTTTGCTCTAGGAGACAAGAATTCCATTCATAATGATTATGATTATATCATCATAATGATAATTATGAATTCCATTCATAATTTCTTGAAGACATTCACAGTTAGTTAGCACTTTGCCAACATCATATGGTTTTGTTAAGCCATTCATTCTCCAAAAATTAAGAGTCACCTGTCCTACTTTGAAACAATTTATATATTTGTGGCAACAACTGACTTAAATTGCAATGGGAAAGAACGTTCCTAGTGACACTACAATTGTAAATGTACTTACTAGACAAATTTTTTTATAGGGTGACATAATAAGCTCCTTGAGGCCCGAATTCTGTGACTCAAAGCTATCATATTCAGTTTTAACATATGATACACTCGATATATACTTATTCAATAACTATAAAAGGGAGTCTCCAGAAATATGCATCCATTATCTCCATAGGCTTTCCTACTCAAAAATCCTAAGATATATTATCTTAATGAATAAAACAATTTATAAAGAAGTGGAAAACTAGGCAATTCTTTAAAAATCCATCACTAAGATGCACAATAATTATAATTTTTGAAAATGAGTGGACATTTTATTGGTAACTGTGAATGTGTCCTCAGCAGAATCAAATATGGTATTCTGGTATTTACCATAACCTGATTTGACCTGTTAATAAATAAAAACAAGAGTCAAATGCCATCTCTTTGGTTAAGTGCTATTTTTAATTTATTGCCATTAACTGACAAAAATAAAATTCACTATTAAAAAAAATCACAAAACTACTAAATGTAGTAAAAATTAAAGTGTCCAGAAAGTAGAATTTAAGCACTTTCAGAAACACTCACTGTTTTCATGACTACTGGGAATGTCTTAATGATGACAAAAAAAAGTTACCAAAATTTTTTTCTCAAGGGGAAGTGTCCTGATATCTGTAATTTACTTTGAAATGCAAGCAACAGATAAGAAGGATTGATATAGTTAGAGAGAAGGATAGAGATATAAAGCAAGTATATTAACACAAGGAAAAATATATATTTTCTATTTCTTTAATTTTGTATTTATATGAAATGAAGGACATTCACTAAACATATTGTGACAGTCATTTCATGACGTAAGTAAGTCACATCTTTACGCTGTACTCCTTAAACTTATACAGTGTTGTGTGTCAATTACATCTCAATAAAACTGGAAGAAAAAGTATAGTAAATACTAATGGTATAATCAAGGTGTGGGTTTACTAATGTACAATGTAAAATTCTCTCAACCATTCTGTATGTTTAAAATTTTTCATAATAAATTTTTGGGAAAAAAAATCATTCCTAAGACAGTTAAAGAAAAAGAGCACAGAGTATAACATTAACCTTAAAGGGTTGATAATTTTTCCCTATTATACTCATAACTGCAATAAGAGAAACTGAATATGACAAATAAGGAAGTTCTACTTTATATGTTTGAAAGACTGTAATAACCACATAAGATTTGAGAACCTGTGGCATGCATTAATACAAATGATAGGCTATCATTTCTATCTCTAGGTGGACTGTGTTCTGAGATGGACTAGGCATATTACAGTTAAAGGCAGTGGAATGAGTTAGATCATCTCGAACTTTATTTCTAAGATTTTCAAATTATCTCATATAACTTTTCATATGCATAAAATGATCAATATTTAAAAAGACTTCTGTATACCACATTGGCGGGAGCGCTAGCAGCTGTCTTTTCTTCAATCTTACTATCTGTTTTGGCAACTCGAAGAGAACTTGCAGGATCAGAAGCTTTTTCAACCTAGAGATGAATATATTATTATCACAAATTATATATAAGTAATATACATATATGAATAAATATACATGTAACAAATCAGAGAGTTAAATGTTTATAAAATATTCATTCTGACAATAAGAAACGTGAAATGAAGATGAGAGGGAATTTGAGAATACCTTATAAAATGATCATTCTCTACTACTAAAGGGCAGAGAGGGGAGGTAATAAATCTCTGAGGGGGTGGGGGGGCGGCTGAGGGTGCAGCACTGTCTGGGAAGTTCTTTGGTTGGGGGAGGGGAAGCGTCCATTCCAGGCAAGTAAGTACCAGTACCCTGTACACACCTGCACTCCCCTTAGGCCCACCCTGCCTTCCTGGAGGTGCAGCCCATTTCCCTAGTAGCCCCAGGCCAGGCAGAAAGTTGCAGGATTGAAGAAGTGGCTAGTAGAAAACTTTCCATGGATCAGACCTATAAGAACACTTTGTCTAAATTACGCCAGTCAAACAATCAGATTTTTGGATGTGTTAACAGAAGATCAGTATAAACTGAAACAATCAGAATGGACTTCAGAATTCCCCTGTTCCCTCCAACTCCACATTTACACTTAGCGAAGACAGGGATCCCTAGAGAAGTTCTTGCTGCTAGAACTAAAGAGTCTCCCAGAACACTGTCTGCAAAGATTAAATTTCGACACCCTGTAGTCTGTTAAGTCTAACTAACGTGACTTCCTCTCATACAATCTCCACCAAATCACACAATCAAATGCTTAGCAATAAGATGCAAGCCCCCATAAAGTGACTTAGTCTCATACAAACTGAGTGTAGCTATGGTAACCATAGCCTCTTATTATACAGAAATGTTCACCAAATCACACGAGATGTTTAGCATTAAGGTACAACTCCCAGAACAGTGTTTTAGCCAAGACCAGATGGTTGTGTTTGTGTCTTTTCATGTGACAGCTACCCCTCACCCAGATTTTGATTCTCATTAAGCATTTTATGCAACCAGCAGGTATCTGAGGCCAATAAGAAATTGAGAAGCACTGACCTAGGGAATATAAATCCTCTAAAAGAAGCAGCAGCAGATATTTTACTCGCTGATGTCCCTTCTATTATTTGCTCTTTTAGGGGTTCCTCTGAGCATGATATGAGAAGATTCCCAGCAGAAAATTAGATAAGCCCTTGAAAACTGACCGGCAAGACCTCTGGATGTTTCTCGGCTTCATCATCTTGTTCTTCATTTACATTTGATGCAGCAAATACTTCAAATTGGCTGAAATCTGCAAAATTTGGTTGTTCTGGTATCTGCTGAGGTGAGGTACTAGTGTGAGTTATTAGGCCATCGGCATCCACCGGGCGATGCACGACGGGACCAGCAGCCTATATGAGGGTTTAGGATATAGAGGAACAGACATTTTATTGGTGTTATCAGTGTCAGAGAGTAGCCTTCTTTTTCTCTGAAAATTTATTATAAGGATGCTCTTTTTACTAGCTGAAAATTCAGGGAGGTGAGGTACAGTAACATTTAGCTCTAAAAAACCTTAAGTGAAATGCTAAGACACTAAAAAAATTAAGATGACAAACCTCCAATAAAAAAGATACTTCTACAAAACTCTTATTGCAAAGAAAGGGCATCACAGGAGAGGGGAAGTTCTGGCCCTAATCTGATTCTCCCCATGCATCTATTTTTTTCTTAATTGGGCTACTGCATAATTGTTCATTCTTTAAAAAAGCTATTTTTTTTAAATGTTTCATTTGTTTCTAAAGAAATTAAAAAAAAATTTTTTTTTTTTTGCGGTACGTGGGCCTCTCACTGTTGTGGCCTCTCCCGTTGCGGAGCACAGGCTCCGGACGCGCAGGCTCAGCGGCCATGGCTCACAGGCCCAGCCGCTCCACGGCATGTGGGATCTTCCCGGACCGGGGCACGAACCTGCATCCCCTGCATCGGCAGGCGGACTCTCAACCACTGTGCCACCAGGGAAGCCCAAAGATTGTTATTTTTAAAGTGTGAAAACCCGTGCTCTAGCTACTCTCTGACACTCCAGTGCACGTTTCTTCAATTTGTCCTCCACTCCTTTGCCAGATCAAATCTTCTAACGTCTTCAATCGAAAAATAAATTTATTGAGTATCTACTTTTGGCCAAGCACTATGGATATAATAGTGAATAAACAAGTAAGGCCCATCCCCTAATAAAGCCTAGTGCAGGACAAGAGATAAATAAACAAGGGTTTAAAATACCGTGTGAGGAGTTTTATGACAAGGGAAGTTAAGTACAGGATGCTACAGGAATAAATCTGAAGTCTTTTTATAAAGTCCCTTTAAAAATTCTCTATATCCTATAAGAAAAATTCCACCTTCTTAGTATGACATAGGAGATGCTCTGCCCCTTTTCCACCTCTTTAATTTCCCTTCCCATGACTCTAGCTGTACTGAACTCAATGGTTTTTCCTTGAAGAATATGCCAGACTCACCTTACACCTCTATGCCATTCCTTCTGGTTGTAATGCCCTCTCCCCAAGAAATACCATTTTATCTTTCAAGTCTCTGCTTAAGTCTAACTTACTTCATTTTACTTAGACCTTTTCAACGTGATCCCTGACTTTACCAGCTAGAAAAGCTGTGCCGAAGTATTTTATAAATATGTCTACTGCAGCACTTTTATTATAATTGTTGTTTACAGTTCTGTCTTTTGCACTAGACTGGTTCTTGAGTCAAGAGACCAACTCACTGGGTTTCACAGCTTAACACAGTAAAAGCATTTTTGTTGGCACTTTAGATAAAATAAATACTGGAATATTCAAATTTCAGTGTCTTTGATGATTAGGAAACCATCTTTTTAACTGCAAATAAGCAACTTCATTATAAGAATCTAACTCAGAAAAATCAACCGAACTCATTCATGTAAAAGGTAGCCAGTCAGTCACATAGAACTAAGCTATATTCCAGAATCTATCTTGGAACATAACAGTTTTATGCAGATGCAAACAACTTCGACCTGGCAGGGGGGTTGCAGAAGTCATCTAACACTTCCTTCACTGATGCAGTAACAAATCCAGGGAGATGCAGGGAGGTTACTCTGAGTCACTGTTAGATCCAGGACATAACATGGACACCTCATATCTCCCAGTCCATTGCTCTTTCCTCTAAACCCTCCTTTGTCAAGACATTATCATTTGGTTCACTTCTGAGCTTCTTTCAAAAAATAAATCATTATTGGAATCCTTATCTTCTAAAATAAGACCTAGCTTCCCTGAATTATTATTATTTTTTTAATAAATGTATTTATTTATTTTTGGCTGCGTTGTGTCTTTGTTGCTACGCTCGGGCTTTCTCTAGTTGCAGCGAGCAGGGGCTACTCTTCATTGTGGTGCGCGGGCTCCTTATTGCGGTGGCTTCTCGTGTTGCGGAGCACGGGCTCTAGGCGCACGGGCTTCAGTAGTTGTGGCGCACGGGCTTAGTTGCTCCGCGGCATGTGGGATCTTCCTGGACCGGGGCTTGAACCTGTGTCCCCTGCATTGGCAGGTGGATTCTTAACCACTGCGTCACCAGGGAAGTCCCCTTCCCTGCATTATTAATAAATGCACATTAAGAATGACAATTATGTAATTCCTGATCTTCAGAATAATTCTAGAATAGAATCAAAGACCTAACAGACAAGTTGACTAAGGGGACTATAATAACTGATGCTTAGTAGTGAATACCTAGGAGAATTACCTGTGAGGGCTGTGGTCTTGGAGGCACTGCAGGAGGTTGGGCAACAACTCCAGCCTGTTGCTGTCCTGTATGAACACACAAGTCTTCTTTTTGTAAATATATAATTACTTTGCTGATAGAACAGACAGGCTGAATGAATGCGATCAAATGATAAAAGATTTCCAATACCAACATATGGTACTGTAAGCCACATATAACTTGTAAAGCTGTCTAGATGTGGTCAGACCTCATGGCCTCTTCTCAGACCTCATCTCTCTTGCTCTGCTGCATGAGGCACTCTTGTCTTGCTCCTCCCTATTTCCATAACACTATACATTCTTGGTTTTCTTCCCATATTTCTGATTGCTCTTTAGCTATCAAATATGAAGACTTCCAAATTTTCTCTCATTTAACACTTCGGTCTATTAATTCTATGTAAATGATTCTCAAATAATACATCAATCTTCCCTAATCCACAAGTCCAATTGGCCTGTTGATTATTTCTCTTTTTTCTCATCATTCCAAACGCATAATATCAAAAAGAGAACATCATCACCCTCCGTCCTAACTTTTCTATTTCCACCAGCGTGATAACAATACGACCGGTCATATAAAAACTGAAACCTTTGAGTAAGTTATGACTCTTCTTTCTCTTTTGTCATGTAATTTAAGACCTATTAGCTTTACCTCCTTGATACCTCCACATCGTTCTTTTAAAATCTCTTGTGGCATCTCTCAGGTTCCCATCGTTATCATTTGAACTCAATTTAGGTAGTCATTAAGAAAAAAAAATTCCCTCTCATTTGATACTTTTTCAATTCAAAATTTTTCTTCATTATAAATATCAAAAAATAAGAGAAAATATTGTGTATCTTTAGCTTAATATATTTAATGTATTTAATATATATTATGGTTCTCTAACCCCTACCTGTGGTGACTGAAAAGGTCCGATTCATATCTAAAGACGACGATCTAGAATGAGAGGGCTGAGGCCTTGGAGGGGGAGGTGGTGGTGCAGTGTTATCAGGCGACATTCCTGAATGAGACCTGCAAAATTCGCCCCGTTACAACTGGTCATGCTACTGACATTGGAGCTTTTCTTTTTTCTTCTTAAGCATTCAAACTCAGCTAAGCAGCAAAGGATCTTACTGGTGAGACATTTTCTCCAGAGGACAGACGAGTATTACAATGAACAAACAATGCTGTTTATTATGTGCACTCACAAGTAGTTATTTAATATAGCAAAGAATCTTCTTTATAAAGTATAATTATACATTCAACAAAATTTCAAAAAATTTAAAAAGAAAGTTAGTTATTAACATGAATTCAAGGTAGACTTCTAACCTAGTGTAATGTTTTTCCATTCATTTAAAGATAATATTAGTCTGAAAAGCTATTTTCAAAAAAGAGAAACTCTACTTTCAGATATGGTTAGCTTTCAACTTATTTAAAGTTTGGTAAGCTGAGGTAGAATGTGGCTCCACTATGTGAGATGCCCATTCCTGTGTTACCACAGGCCCTCTCATTTTAGAGGTGATTATTTATCTTCATGCTCAACCCTCTCTCGAGATTCACTTACTGGCCACCAAAGTCTTCTATGTATTCTGAAAAGAGTCTCATGGACTTTAGCAATCTGATCCTCACTATTAGGAATAAAAAGTAGACTAAAATCCAAACTGGCTGAGAACTCTAAGATATATGAAAAGGCAGCCTTTTGACTGTGTGAGCTCTTCAGAGATTCTATATTACCACTCTCTCCATATATCCTCCAGGAGTGTGGCAAAAGGCTCTTACAATGCATGAAAAGCGGGGGAGAAAGATGCTTCTGTCCTGTGCACAGTTCTGAGTGGACGGTGAAGCCCTTGTAGACAGAGCCCTTGCTACCCTCACCCTACCCCACACCTTTTTTTGTTTGTGCCTGAGACGTTATATATAATGCAGATCTTCAGGGTGGGTAGGTAGTCCAACACTGGGCTGTGCTTCCAGATGACATTTTAAAACACTGAATTCTTTTGGTACTTGCCCATAAGGCTATGAAAGGAAATCTGCACATTTCTTACTTAAATAGACTCTCACTGATGAGCTACAAAAAGGACTGTATTCAACCACTACTGCCAAGAAATTATCAGCTCATACAGAATACCATGAAGACATAACGGTTCCTTTTGTTTTCCTATTAAAGTTGGAAAGAATCAAAATCATTTCCCTTTTACATAAATCAGTAGGTAACCTAATAGCCTTTAGAGAAGTGCAGAACTGAAGAATAGAGAAAAATAACTTATACTTGGTTTTAAATAATTTTAAATATTAAAACGTTAACAAGATATTTTAATTATGCTTTTTATTGACAGAAACACTAACCTTTGACGAGCTACATTGTTCCCAATCTGTTCTGGATCCGAAGTAAAAGAGTCTGAACTACTGTAGCCATCTGCTGATAAATGGGATATATCCTATTTAATAATAATCATTTATATAACTGAATTATTGTTTCAAATCAGAAATATTCAAAGATTGGCTAACACGTTAACATTTCATCATAGTATTACTAACTGTAAAAAATTAGATATAAATCAAATAAATCATGGACTATTTACACAACACAATACTATGCACAGTGAACAAGTTACAATCTAAAAAAGTTATTATTTAATAACAGAAATATTCAAAATAAGTTACATGGAAGGAGGATAGAAAACAGTACATATATTACAGTTTCATTTCATATAAGAATATAACATGCACAGAATGAGGATTAAGGTTGACAAGGAATGCTAATCACGGTCACTCGCAGAATAGTGAGATTGCAAGTAATTTTCATTTTCTTATTTTTATTTATTACATTTCTACAAGTGTGAATAATTTTTGTAATGAAAAAATTCATTTTTAAAGAATAAATTAGAAATATCTTAAGTAAAAAAGCTAACTTAAAAACTGTTAATGTAAAATTTTTAAAAATTTGACAAGGGAATAAAATGTGCTTAGACAATAATAAAATTTATGAAATTAACCAGAGGGTACCAATTTTTCACCTGAGGTAATATCATTTTCAATTTCCTCAAAGTCTTCTGAAAGAGAAGAGAATCCCAGAAGAGACTAAGAGTTGTGAAGCAGTAAAGAAGTTTTAAAATAGAAACTCTAGGGATAATTTGAAGAAATACTACTCATACCTTTCAAGAGTGATAAATTGAAGGGACTGGTTGTTTGGTTTAGTTTCATTTCAAAATGTATCCCTTTCCTTTTTCTTGTCAAATCACTGAGAAGTTTACTTAATTGGTACAAGAAGGATGCTAAAATTAATGAATTTCCATTTGGATGTTCTAATAGGCATCTCAAACTTATCATGTCCAAACCTGAACTCCGACTCCCCCACCCCCCACACAAACCTTCTACCACAGACTCTGTCAATTCCCAGTTGCTAAGATCCCTTGAACCACCCATGACTGCCCACCCCCACCCCTTGACATTCAAGCAAATCCTGTGGTCTTTTCCTACCAAAATCTAACCAGAATCTGACCACTTCTCAGCACTTCTACTGCTACCACCCTAGGCCAAGCCATCATCTTCTCTTGCCTGTATTGTTATAACTGTTTCCTAAAATGGTCTTTCCCTGTTTGAACTCTTGCCTTCTTCTGGCCTATTCCCAATACAGCAGCCAGAATAGTCCTGCTAAAAAAGGAAGGTCAGATTATGTCACTTCTCCATTCAAAACCCTTCTAAATAGCTTTTCATCTTACTCAGTACAAGTCAGTCTTACACTGCTCCCCAGTTACTATTCTCCCACTTGCTACCTCTACCTGCCAAATTTACTAACTAGTTCTATTTCGGGCGTTTGCTTGCTGTTCCCAGTAAATAAGGCATCTTCCCTAAACCAGGGCTTCATATTGGCTGTTCCTTGTGCCTTAAACATCCTTCCTTCAGATATTCACACAGCCCAATTCCTCGTCTCCTTCAAGTTTTAACTCAAATGTCATCTTTTGTAAGGCCTTCTTTGATCACCTTATTTAAAATGTCACTACCTCTCCCCTTTCACAACTTAATTTTTATCCAGGGTGTTAATTATCTCCTAAGATATGAGTCCTTTTTTTCGGTTACCTACCCTACAGAATGTAAACTCCAAAAGGGCAAAGATTTTTTTGTTTTGTTTTGTTTACTGCTGAATCCCGTGTCTAGAACAGAGCCTGGCACATAGTATTCCATTAACATTGGCTGAATGAATGAATATATACACAATTTCTTGTGAGACAGAAAGAAAGGAGCTAGTGGGAAAGAGACAATGTACAAAATCTGGCTAGTTAAGAGGGATGGCAAACAGGAGGCCTGCCTTGAAGAAGGTTTAGTGGCAATGGGCAACCATTTATTCATACAGAGGGTAGGGTGTTTAAAAGGACTGACTATTCTCTGCATTATCCAGTGAAGATAATATTAAATGGTTATATATTTGAATTATTCAGACTCTAAGTCCAGACTTAATAAACCTCAAATGGAAGATGTAATTCTACCTTTCACTTACCTACAGTATTTCCAGAAGCAAATTTCACTGATGAATTTATCTTATTTTCTTCTGAAAGGTCAGCTGTTTTCACAAGTAATGGGCTAGTGGGATTAGTATGATCTAGGAGAGAATTAATAGGTAAAAATACAAGATATAGATATCTGAATTAATAAATTCATAAACATCAGAGTACAAGACTTTGTTTCAATACTCCGAAGAAGTAGCAAGTAAATCCATGAAATGTAAGACAAAATAATATTTACTAGGACAAACATAAACCTGTTTATATAGAATTTTGTTTTCTGCCACAACAGAAGATACTTTATAATGAAAAAGTCAATCTGCATGTTCATACTTTGTTAATTTTATCCCTGTAGGGCAATTAGTTAAATAAAACACCACACAAATGACTGTAAAATAAGTAATTTATGTTGTTGACTTACATAGAAAACAAATCTATCTGTGAGAGACCCTAACTAAAACATTTAATCTAAAATGAGGAGAAACTTCAAGAGTTAAAGCAAAATATACTATTTCAAAGTCAAGATTCACTTTAACATATACCTCTTCGGTTAAAATTTGAACATGCTTTAAATGTAAATTCACAAGAATGATCATAAAAACCCACAGGGTATCAGAAAAGTCACGTTTTCCAAACGTCCTTATTTAAAAACTTTATAAATTAAATTCAGTAATTTGCTTTTAAAACTGTAATATAAATTTTAAAAAATATACAAGCACACACACACAGTACAAATATAATTGCAGAAAAAGTACTATGTTAAAAAAATAAGCAATTAACAAAAGAAACCTGAACTCAGAATGATTACCTGTGTATTTTGGTTTGATGCTAATCTAAAATATAACCTCCTAAACTAAGACACAACCCAGCAACAGCTTCCTTACCACTGCCAGTCCTTTTAAGTTCCATTTCCTGCATGTGGATTTTGCTTGGAGTCATACGAATGGGAACTGGATGAACAATAGCAGTATCCTACAGACAAATGGGAGGAAATACAGAATTTGTATTAAAAATGCCAAGCAGGTACCATGAAATAACCAAAATTAAAAACACTTCAAAAACCGGTGGACAGAGTTCCTCATTCACACTAAGGCAAGCATGAAAATTAATTTTTTAAATAAAAGTTCCAGAATTATATTTTAAAAAGTCAAGTTTTCTGTATACGCCTAATAATCTGATTTCTTTTATAAAAAGTACATTTTAACTTTGAGTGATTAAAGATTTGAGAAGAAAACTGATCTTATAAAAATACAATTCAAGACAATATTCAAAGGCAAAGTGTGAAATGATCTGATGAAATTATTCAAATCTGAACCTTTGAGGTTAAAAGGAACTATTTCATGAGAACCCAAAGACTAAGTAAAAGATTGAATTCATTTTCACTAAACTGCTCAAAAAATTTGACACTTTACTTTTTCATATATAAAACAAAGTTAATGAGATGCCTGTCATATTGTAACAGTAGGCATGATACATACTTTCTATAGATTAGTTCTACAGAACTGCATAAAACTTCCACAAAAGGAACCCATTTTTTTAAGAGTTAGGATAAGTAACACTCCTACTGTAACATTAATACTTTCCTTAAATTTTTTTGTGACTATATTACATCTGATAATTCTCAACATAAGGCATGAGTGGCAAGTCTAGTTAGAGGAGTAAAGGAACTGACAGAATAAACTTCTGAAAAGAGTATAAGGCAATGTATGGCAGCCTCTCCAAAAGGGAAGGAAGAGAGAAAGGTGCATCTGGGTAGCCAGGGAGGCCTGGCCCTGGGAGCTGAGACACGCAGGGGAGGAACTAGAACGGGATCAAGGATTTGGCTTAACAGCAACAGACCAGCTAAAAAACATGCCTACAGGAGTTCAGCCCCTTCTACTAGGAGTCAGCTCATATTTTGTATGTGCTGCTGCTAAAGACTGAACTTGAGATCCTTAAATTTCAAATATCTAGTAATGAGTTTAAATTTATAATTTAGTGTGAAGGATAATGACCTTTCAATTTAAGTTGGACACTGTTTTGGTGACAGTATTAACACCACACCTCTGCAAGTTCTAGCATACCATCTCCTGTTTGACAGGTCTCCTTGGCTTATTTGCATAATCTCTAAATTCAATCCATTTATAACAAATGAATTCTTTACTGCAATTATAGAGATAAATCCATTTACAGTAATTTCCTGTCCCTACACTAGTGAGATTCTGGACAGGGTTATGTACTATTTAATAAACCTGAACTAACATTTCCCCTACAACTCTAAAGTTACAGTTATAAAACATAAACATAATAGATGGATAAAAGTTTAGATTTCTCACATAAGAATGAGTCATACTCAGGAAATTATTAACAATACACTCAAGATGTTGTCTGTTATGTTTATGGTTATGAAAAACATGGCTTTAAGAATAACTACTATTTTCTTAACTTACAATTTTAATAGCAGAAATAACTGCTGAGAATCAGATTTTAACATTCTAAGGCAAGATTAAAGGAGAAAGCATGATAGATTCATGCTTATTCCAAACCCAAAGCACACTAAGAAAAAACAAGCAAGGAAAACTTATTAGATGCTTTAACTCATAATATTGATCTAATATATATTCTGTGTATATGTACATAGTCATATTTATAAAATTTGTAACAGATATATTAAGTAGCCTTTTCATATATTTCCAGTACAATAAAGGGAAGTCACAATAATGACCCCCCAAAAAGAAAATCATGTTCTATTCATTCTCTAAATAATTTGCATAAGTTTCTGTACCAGCAAATCAATTTCCTATTGCATACTTCAGTCATATAACTAATTGTTGCTATGAGCCTGCAACAGCTTTAATCCAGTGGATCCTGCTACTAGTAGGACAAGGCAATTCCTGGAAGAGCTTTAACACAGATGACCAGGCCCAACCTCAGACTAGTGATCAGAAGCTCGGTCTGTGACTGTGATGTGCAGCAGAAGAAAGAGCTTTGACTTTAAGCGTTTCAACACCCAGATGAAGAACCATAAATGCCTGTAAGTCTCTGGGTCCTGAGCACAAGATGCCAAAGTAACACTTTCTCTGCTCCAAATTAGCATCCCCATATTTAAAAACAGAGAAAAAAGTAAAGAGACTGACTGGCAAGCTCTGCTCACTTTCTTCTACCTATCCAAATCACCCAAAGCCTTTAGGAAACCCATTCCTAAACACTCATGGCACATTTGTATCATATATTTAGGTACTTGATTTTATACATCTTCGTACTTTACTGAATATTCTATTGTGCTCAAATATCTACATTTTCTACTTGGCTTAAATCTTACTATCCTGTCTGTCTGAAACCAGCCCTGTCTACTTGCTATTCCTGTGTCACTTCGTTCAGGTGCTCATCATCTCACTCTCTCTTTTTTTTTTTTTACATCTTTATTGGAGTATAATTGCTTTACAATGGTGTGTTAGTTTCTCCTTTATAACAAAGTGAACCAGCTATACATATACACATAACCCCGTATCTCCTCCCTCTTTCATCTCCCTCCCACCCTCCCTATCCCACCCCTCTAGGTGGTCACAAAGCACTGAGCTGATCTCCCTGTGCTATGCGGCTGCTTCCCACTAGCTATCTATTTTACGTTTGGTAGTGTATATATGTCCATGCCACTCTCTCACTTCGTCCCAGCTTACCCTTCCCCCTCCCTGTGTCCTCAAGTCCATTCTCTAGTAGGTCTGTGTCTTTATTCCTGTCTTACCCCTAGGTTCTTCAGGACATTTTTTCCCCTTAAATTCCATATATATGTGTTAGCATACGGTATGTGTCTTTCTGACTTACTTCACTCTGTGTGACAGACTCTAGGTCTATCCACCTCATTACAAATAGCGCAATTTCGTTTCTTTTTATGGCTGAGTAATATTCCATTGTATATATGTGCCACATCTTCTTTATCCATTCATCTGATGATGGACACTTAGGTTGTTTCCATCTCCGGGCTATTGTAAATAGAGCTGCAATGAACATTTTGGTACATGACTCTTTTTGAATTATGGTTTTCTCAGGGTATATGCCCAGTAGTGGGATTGCTAGGTCGTATGGTAGTTCTATTTGTAGTTTTTTAAGGAACCTCCATACTGTTCTCCATAGTGGCTGTACCAATTCACAATCCCACCGGCAGTGCAAGAGTGTTCCCTTTTCTCCACATCCTCTCCAGCATTTATTGTTTCTAGATTTTTTGATGATGGCCATTCTGACTGGTGTGAGATGATATCTCATTGTAGTTTTGATTTGCATTTCTCTAATGATTAATGATGTTGAGCATTCTTTCATGTGTTTGTTCACTCTCTCTTGATCCCATCAGTCCTTCACATTGTTGCCTGAACGATCTTCCCCAGCTACCTCTTTGGCGCCCCCATCTTATCATGGTACTTCTTGTTAGCTCCCAGTTAAGTTCAGATCCTTGGTCTAGGAAACAAAGATCTTCCCAGTCAGGTTTCAGCCACACTCTTCAGCTCCCCATCACTCCCCCATACGTGTCTACCCTACACTCTCACTGCACTGAATTCCTGCTGCTCATGACCTTCTTCTTGCAATGCCCTTGTCCACTTCTGCCAATTCACGGTTTCATTCAAAACTCATCATACAAACATACCCTCTTTTGTGAAAACTTGCCCAAACACACTGGGCTGAGTTAGCCCACAGTTCTCTGCCCACAGTTTTGTTCACGGGTACATATGAAAATTATCAAAGTCAGCTATATTACAACCATCAATTTATAATGATTAAGCTGTGGTCTACTTAAGACTGGACTTGTTTTTTGACATCTTGGTATTCCTAGAGGATAACACAGGCACCTGGAAGGGGGCTCCACCAAACCAACTGAGTTGGCTGGGCATAATCAGTGATCAAATGAACTCCCTTGTCCTACCCTGAGTGAGTCCAACATTCTACGGCACTCAAGGTCAGAGATAAGTCACGGCAGAGACCAGTGCACTGCACTTCCCGTCAGTCTAGAATTTCCTGGTGGAAACACATTCTACCAGAATAAGCAGTTCAACAAAAGTAATCAGGTTGCTGGAAATGAGATATCAGAAACTCAGTTTCATAACAATTCTGGGAGCCTAATAATTAACCATCTCAGTTTGCATGTGAGGTCACTGCCCTGGGTGATGGCTGTCTCTAAGTGCTACAGAGCAGTTTGGTGTCCTTCACAGACAAACTTTATTGAGCAATATCTACTTATCAAAATTTGGCTTTTAAAAATTATTCCATTAAGTGTTTCTGAAACTGTAAGGTATGTTAAATTCATATCAGAACTGTAGTGTTCTTTTTCTCCTATGTGAGTCTCTTCTAATCTGAATGGACCTTATTTACTTACTTATAATCCTTATTTAAATAAACCTTGCAAAGGATCATTTGGGAATGTGGCCATAGGCTGTGTTCTGTAGACTGGTAAGATGTCAGGTAAGAATTAAATGAAGGTTAAGAAACTCAGACCCTCACTGAAAGCAGGGCATTGTACTAATTGAAAGTTTACAGTGAGATTATAGTTTGCCAGCGTAAAAGAAAAAAATGTTTCTAGGTACCAGGCTATAAATATTTAAGACTGCCAACTTTATCAAATTTAGAGGCCTAAACTCAAGTTTAAAATGTCAATTAACCATTTAAAACTTTCTTTCCTAGAGCCTCCTGCCATACTAGAAATAACAAAAGAAAGAATTATGCCATATCATTTAAACACTAGAGCTGGAATTCACAAATTTGGATATTATTTCCAAAAAGTTACAAGAATATCACTGTTATTAAGTCAACTATTTCCCTGCATTTCCTGCCAGTCACGAGTCAATTTAGTTTGCCTCTGAGTTCTAGATTTTTATATTTAATGTTCTTTTCTGGCCTGACAAAGATCATAATACTATGAATTATTACTCTGAATATCTCTTAAGGGTTAGAGAATAAAAGAGTCTCTACTGCTACATCCTTCCCTGTAAAATACTTTTATTAAGTACTTTAAATAAAATTAACTTGACTCTGTAAGTAGGAGATAAGAATAATATGGAGAAATGAAACTCAGAGCTAAAGTAAAACTTTCTTTTAGCTTATAGCACGTGTCACTTCCCAAGAAACTTTAATTACTGCTGCTAATAAGCAGTAAAAATTGTTAAGTGCTGCCTTTTTATTTCTCTCCCATTTTTCAGAGCCTAAAAGCAAAGATTAATGTCCTCAAAGTAGTAAGGAAAGAGACGGCCAAAGGCTCAGATAATCTACATATTAATTGGCCCCTGAATAATGAATAGATTATAAAATAGACACTTAAAACACTTCCATACATTATGTTTGAATTCAATATAACAGCATTCTCTGTATTTCAAACAGATATAAATTCTTTAAAATTATAAAACACACCAAGGAGCCATTAATTTAAAATGCTGAAGATGTACTATTATCTTTAAATGCCACTTCTCCCAAATCCATATTAAATAACAAGACTATTTTAACATTTAATTAATAAATGCTGGCTATCTTTGGTCAGAAACATCTAGAAAGAATGCCTTGTGTCACTTTCTCCAATTCTTTTCACTGAACTCATTTTTAAAAATCCTACCTTTACACTCTTCTTCCCTTCCTACTTACTTCCTCTTTTCTTTTTGAAAGGTACGTATTAGCATGTCCTTCTCTTTATAGGAAAAAATGAAAAATAAAAGAAAAAGCAGGAGTGAACAGTGAGAAGACTGTAACAGCTACAGTATAGAAGTTTTCAAATAACTTGAGGGACGGGTGGGGCATATATGAAGTTCAATCTATGGGACAGAATTTATTGTTTAAATCAGGATGTGAACTTTGTAGCATTTTCAAAGCAACACAGTGAACCACAGGAAGACAAGACAGAGCCTCCTCTGCACAATGGGAATCTTTGACCAACAGCACTATTGTTTTGCTGAACTTGATTCTCTTGTAACAGGACTCAACGTACTAATTAAGTCAAAGCTGTACCATCTGGACTGTTAAAATAAAAGATGACACTGCATGTTTACAAACATAGCACATGTACATGATGTGTAAGCATACAAATACAATAGTATTTACTGTCATTACACTGCAATAAGCAGTATATGTTTAATAAAACATACACTCAATTAGCAAATGAAAACAAGGTCAACTAAATCAACTGTCACAAAATGCTCCTTTAGACACATGTATCAGATTTTAAAAACATAGATTTCTCTCATTAAAATAACTAGAAAATACAAAGAATGGTAAAAAAAAAGTTCTTTCCACCATTAAACACGCAAAAATTGAAAAGCCTGCCACCATTTCCCTCTAAGCACTCCACTGAATCATGCATATCAGCTAAAAACCATAATGAATGAAAATTTGGGTTAATAAAATTAATTTCAAACAAGCAAGCTAAGTGATTGACTTACAGGATCAGCTGGTGCAATGTTAGAATCAAATTGGGTCAGAGTTTGTGAGCTTGAAGAGCGTTCACTAAATGTCTCCCACTGCTGAACAGACAGAGGAGAGACAAGTCAGCATGATGAGAAAGATGGAGTAAAAGATCACCGGAGAAGATTTAGCAAAGTAATTCAGAGGTTGCACTGCAAGTTGTGTTTCGTAGGCCTGACAAAATTCCGTAAGTTCTGTTTTTCCATAAACATTCTACATTATCTATGCTGGGTCATCTTGTAATGTAAAGTGAGCAGCTTCACGATCAAATGTACAGTAACAATTTATTGCAATCTCTATGGGAGAGATTCAAAGCCTTACAGAATTCAACTCAAAACACAATAAAGGAACAGAGTCTAAGTGGTATAAATGGTGACAAAAGAAAAATATAAAGGGGTTTGTCTTGACTAGAGAAAGAATAACTTCAAATCCTTCTTTTAAAATCCAAATGTTAATGCACTGATTTGGTGGTACTAATGAATTCTGAGTACCAAAGTTTTGGTCAAAACAAAGCAAGTCAGTGCGACTTGCCAGTGCGACCCCTGAAAGATGATTCTATTATGTATGTGCACATATTCTGTACATATGTATAGATATTTAATAAAATATAATTGAGATAAAATGCAAAGAATTCTGGAATTAATGTAAGTTTGAGCTTATGTCAATCTGTAGCAAGTCAACCCCTGTAATCAGCATTATGAACAGGGCCATGCCAGACCACAAGACAAAACTGCCAATCAGGCACCCACCTCCAACCCCATGCTAGAAAAATCAGAATGCGGCCACAATGAGAGCAAATCAAGCAACTGAGTATGTGTTATATATAGAAGAGGTATTTTGATATGAAATACTACTCTTCTAAAAGAGGTACACAAATATCATACCTCAAATTAGGTGGAGTGATAAGTGATTATTAATTTTAGTAAATTCCATTTGAAGATCTTAGTAATAAACAGTATAGGATTTTATATCAAAATCATATTAAAATTATCATTAAAATTTGATTCTTAAGAATTACCAGTTATACTCTGAAGAAGGAAAAACATCTGCACATATACAATATATACACATGAATGTTTACACACAGACACACCTACTCCATTAACCAAAATCCTCTTTTTATAATTCAGTATAGAAAAGTATACATTTTTATGCTTCAAAGTTCGACTTACTATTTAAAATAGTAATATTCAATTTGAGAAGGCATGTAGAAACTAAATGTTAGCAAATGAACACATTTATAAAAATTATCTACAGAAATGGCTAATGCAATCATTCAACAGCTTTCCCTAAAGATTAGTTTTGAAATCATAAAATTAAGATATACTAAGAAATAAGAGATGCATTCAGCGTGTTTCCTGAATAAAGAAAATCCACAGTGATTCACTTTTATCAAGGGACATCACTTCAGGGAAGTGACTTACCAATATTTGTTAATATAATTAGTTTCTTCAATAATTATTGTTGCATAGGTACAGAAGGAATTTTTAAAATCCTAATTATCTAACTATGGAGAAAAGTTTAGATGCAGAATATTTTTTCCAAAAAGAAGACATCTGTCTACCTATTTGGTGGCATGAGATTTTACTTGATTTTACAAGACTGTATGTAAGCTAGCTGGAGAGCAGAGAAACACTCTTATCTTTGTAACTTTAGTATAATGGTTAAGAGCACAGGCTCTGGAACCAGACGACTGGAATCCTAGTTACGCTGCACACCCTCAGGCAAGTTATCTAACCTCTCTGTGTTCCAGTTGTACCATCTGTAATGTGAGATTAATAATGCCTATGTCACAGGATTGTTATAAGGATGTAAAGAGTTAATATATGTAAAGAGCTTTTTGAACAGAATGGGCACATCAAAAGTGCTCAATGTGTTACGGATTATTATTAGTGTTATCCCCTACAGTGCCTCATCCATATTTGCAAATGCTGAATAAATATTTGTTGAAAGAATATTAGTGCTTTGAGGTAGAAATTAAAATATAATTTCCATATCCTAAGTAAATTTAAAAAAATAAATATTATTAAAATGTGTCAAAAATCAATGTTAGTTTTAGTAACATTTTGATTTTCCACACATAGTGCAAAAAACCAATTATGACATTCATGTCCTTATTAGCAAACACCACAAAATGAAACTTGGTAAGAATATTTAAGAAGGGAAAATGCAACTGCTTAAATCAGATTTGAAAGGGATTTCCATCGCTAGTCTTTAATGATCACATGTGATTTTTACTTGGAATGAAGATGGGCTTTTGAACTGACATGCTTTAGAAAGAGTTGCTTTTATTTATGAACAGATATCAGTAAAAATAATCTTTTAATCTGATACTGCTTTTTAAAAAAAATGACAGAAATGAATAAAGGCAGCAAAAAACAGTGGTTTCAAGAACACTGAGCCTATTCTCCATAAAGCCTCTCTACTAGCAAATTCTTTCAAGGCTTAAATCTTCCCTCCAGAAAAACACTTATATAAATGGTTTTATATCTGACAGCATGACGGATGTATATTATAATGTCTCAGAAGCAGGTATCTGTGATTATGTCATAAAGCAGCAGCAAAGTACTTTAAACCTGCCAGTTACTTCTCTTGTTTTTCAGTTGTCCAAAATCAACTAGTGTCTCTTAAATCCAGTATTTTTCTGGCTTTAAAAGACACAGAAAGCACAGAAGCTTCAAGCACTATCTAAAAGTGATACAAAAGACTGTAAGGAAAAAAAATATAACTTGTTCACAAAGAAAAGTGCTCTAACAGGCTGAGCAGTGGTTTTCAATTGAAGTTCTACAGAGCATGAAGATTTAACAGAGGGGCCTCAGAGGGTGCTTTGTGGAGGCAGGGCCTCAGGTCCTCTTCCCTTATTCTAATCATAGTGGCCCTACTTTTATTGTTTTGTATAATGGAGTTCCAAAGTAATGGGGGGTGGTTCTCAAATTCTGTTTTCCACGCTGGGCTTGGTCTTATATAACATGGTCTTTAACCACTGTATTTAATAGGGTTAAATCATTCCATTTTGTATTAAATAAAATAAATTACTATGAATAGCCTGGAATGTAGAAAATACTTTTTCATGTGGAAAACTGGTTTAGTGGCTTCTCACATCACTTCCAATGCTAAGATTCCAAATCTATTATCGCAGGCCTTGCTTACAGGAATGAGAAGGCAGTGTGACACAGCAGGTATGCTAGCTGACTGAACGTCCAAAGGACCTGTGTTCAAATCTCAGCCCTTGTCGCTTACTGGCTGTAAGATATCTTGTCCAAGACATTTACCCTTTCGACTGTTAAGTTCATGCATCTGCCCCATCTAACCCACAGAGATTTAGTAGGAATGAATGGTGGAAACTAAATGATAGTATATACATATGAAAAAGTACTTTGAAAACCTCAGTCATATAATTACAGATATCTATCACAGTCACATTTGATATGGTCCCTCAACTATGCATGCATGCTGAAAGAGCTATATGATGAAATTACCCTGCTCGGAACTTCTTACCTTAAAAAAGTGAATGTTAGTGAGAGAAAAGGGAAGCTTTGCTAACCTCACTGCTCTGATTCAGCTCAGGCCAAGTCTGGTTTAGTGACGGCATAGATGGAGACTTGCTTGGAGGTGCTTCTGCAGGAGAGCCTGAATAACCTACCTCACCTGGCTGATCCCCAACGTCTGCAATTTAAAAAAGAGAAATTCTCTATAAACAATATATTTTAGTTTAGGAATATTTACTCATAAAAACCTAACAGAAGGTTTTCACAAGTAGTAATTTATAATCTGAATTTCCTTTTCTCACTTTCCCAAAACAAACATCTTAACAATCAGACAATCAGGCAATACTTATTCCTGCAACTTACTGTCTACCTGAAACCAGAGTTTTCCATGAAAATAAAATCTAGTTAGAAATAAGTAGAAAAAGAGTGTTGTACATAGCAATGCAATAGGGCACATACTTTGAATCTAGTAGGGATGGATTTGTACCAGTTCCCAAAGTGTATTCCATGGAATATCAATCAGTAAGATCTTTTTAAAAATTAGGTTTTCTATTCAAATAAATCTGGGAATACTAAAATTCCCTGTTGGAGTGTCCCCACGCACATTTGTATATCAAAGACTTGTCATGTTTAAATCAGTTTTTCCCAAATATAAACCTTTTTTTATCAGATAAAAATCCCTCAATATTCCCTTGGCATATACTTTGGGAACTGCTGATTTACACTAATTCTCTCGAATTTTCTCTACAAGTCTTCCTTGTTACCAAGAAGCAGCATATATTTTCAAGGCAGACAGCAAAAGGAGAGAAAGAGCCCAGGCATGAGCAAAAAGCAAAGTCAATGAGCCCACACGAAACAAACTTTTATCGTTAGGCTCACTAGCATTTACAGACTTAACTGAGAGATCTACAAATCCATGACAGGATTTCAAAGTGGTTTTTAAAGTATTATGTGATATCATGTTCTACTTTTAATTAGTTAAGGCTTCTCCAAGCTCTCAAATTGTAATTTAAAAACAGAAGGAATTTAATGGTAACTAAATTCTCATTCCAATCTTCCCAAATTTTACATGGCTTTGAATATAATCCCAGTCTGAAAATCACATTGATTGCCAAATTAATGGGGAGTACCTAATCTGTTTAGAACCTGTATCAAAAATATGACTCTAATATCTGTCACTATCTCATTGTTTGACCATGGGCAAGTTGAATAAAATAAATAGCACCTGAGTTTCTCCATCAGAAAGAAAGACATTTGCCATTAAATGTTAGTACTATACTTCAGATTCCTATATAGACAGCCATATAACAACTTAGCAATGTATAGGTTTTAACCTTCCAATCTATTCATAAGTAAATCCTTCACGTTTTAGTGCCTAACACAGGACCTACCACATATTAGGCACTCAAATATTTATTGAATGAGTTACTTTTGAGTGTTCTTCTTCATTTAAATTCATTCTCCTTTACCATTATTTTTCTAGAACCAAAATTAACTACTGATACTCTGAAGAAGTCTCAAAATTTTTCTTCACCTATTCTGTTACATGACTATCTCAAAATACCTCCCTTTTACTCACCCTGACATTATTTCTTTATAGTCATATCACACTGCAAGTTCTAATTTGTAGTCCAGCATCATATTTTGATAAATTTTTGTTTTCTAAGATCAAGCATTCTTGCTATTTTTCTTAATTATCTCTTTCTCAGTAGAAGTGCCAAAGTGATACAGAACAAATAAGAGGCAGAAATGCTTTATATAATGTTCTATGAAGACCTCTTAACACAATGCTCTTAGAGAAAAACTAATGAAAAAATTATTTATAATAAATAGTAGCAGCAAATTCCTCATGGAAATAGCTTGTGGTTTTCAGTGTGAACAAAAATCATGGACTTTTTTTCCTATGGTAACACAGGGAGATGAATTAGCCTAAGTTATTAAAGATGGTGGCGGAGCAGAGTCGCTCCCGGATGGACTCGCCGGTCTCGGCCTCTATGTTCGCCCCTGAGCCCAGCTCTCCGGGGGTGATTGCTGCCCGGCTCCACAGCAGCTTCAACTTGGACTGCAGCAAGGACGGCAAGGCGCTCGACGGCAAACTGGAGCTGGACCTCACCAGCAAGATGCTTCTAGTGAGCTCTACATCAGAGCAGTATGACAGCCTACTTTGGCAAATGTGGGAGAGGATGGACGAGGGATGCAGGGAGACCACATATGTCACTGGGCAGAGATCAGGAGACTTGGGTTCGAGCCCTGGTCCGGGAAGATCCCACATGCTGCAGAGCAGCTAAGCCCGTGCGCCACAACTACTGAGCCTGCGCTCTAGAGCCCGCGAGCCACAACTACTGAGCCCACGTGCCACAACTACGGAAGCCCGCGCGCCTAGAGCCTGTGCTCCGCAACAAGAGAAGCCACCGCAATGAGAAGCCCGTGCACCGCAACGAAGAGTAACCCCTGCTCGCCACAACTAGAGAAAAGCCTGTGTGCAACAACGAAGACCCAACGCAGCCAAAAATAAATATAAAATAAATTTATTAAATTAAAACAAAACAAAAGGAAAGGGAGTTAAAGAAAGAAGGATAATAGCTATAGATTTGATAGTTTACCGGAAGTGAAACTCTGTCAGAAGGATGGTGAATGAAGAAGCGTCTTTAAAAGATCTCCCAAAGCAGATATTAAAGAAAGGAAAAATAGAATAAAAATAGTATTAACTATAGGATGATTAATTTTCAAAAGAACCTATTTAAAAGTCATACTGCATTATTATTTAAGTTTCAAATGTCACCTTAAGGCAAACTGGGGCCCTGATTTGACTTGCCTGGACCTCTGTTCTCCTGTTAGTCTTCTACTGACAAATTTAGGGCCAGAATGTACACCATCCCCACTGCAGGGAAGTTCAGGTTTGGGATGGATTCTGGGTACCTCTTTGATTCACTAGTACCAAGCTGCAGTGGGTCCAGCCCCTTGAGGCTAAGAACTGAAGTGTTATTCACCCAAATAATTATACTTCATAGTCATTCCAATACAGTTACTTTCCTACAGTAGCAGTTCTTAAACTGCAAACCGTGGACTCCTGGGAGTCCCCATGACACTGTTAGGGGGATCTAAAACATCAAAATTATTTTGTAATAGTAATAATGCTTTTTCTCTGTGTTCGCATATGCAAAAGCAATGGTGGGTAAAACTGCTAGCTTATTAGCAAGAATCAAGGCAGTGGCACCTAAATATATAGTGATTACTGCTACAATATAGCAGTCATTGTATTCTTTACCACCATGCATTCCAGTTAAAATATGTAAAAATAAATAAATCAATAAATATGCATGACAATTTCACTGAAGGATGTTCACAATTAAGCAGTAAAAATTATTAATTTTATTAAATCTCACCCCTGGAAACACATTTTTAAAATATTCTGTGGCAAAATGGGAAACAAATATGAAGCACTTCTCCATATTAAAGTGCAACGGTTGTCTCAGTGTGATTCAGATGTCAGCTGAACAGGCCACTATTATTCTTGAAAGAACAGGTGATAAACTGTAATTATTCAGACATGGCTAGTAGGCAGGGATTTTCTTGAAAATGGATTAAGTGACCCTGTCCCTTCAAGGAAAATAACAATTTTCAGTATTTGTTACTAATGACAAAGTTTGAGCTTTTAAGTGAAGATTAGAATTTTGGAAAATGTATATCCATGTCTATAAGCTCAAGAGCTTCCCAGTACTTCCTTGATAAGATAGGTTGTGATATTAACAAACACACTTTTTGATATTTTATAATAAAATGTCCCAACGTTTGAAAAAGCTGTACAACTCAATGAACCGATATTTTACAAATAATCAGCGCATTATGTTACAAAGCCGTGCATGGGTAAAAGATTCATTCCAAGTTCAAGACAGATCTATGTAACAGTACAAACAATTCATTAATATGGTTTCAGCTTTTACACTGCAATTAACCTTTAAGAAATTACCATTTGTTGAGTTTTGGTGCAATACCAAAGAATATCCAAAATTATCTGAAAATAGTCCTCCCTTTTACTACGTGAGGCCAAATTTTCTTCATGTACTAAGGACTGGCATCCTTTTTCTGCAAAGGGCTAGCCAGTAAATATTTTAGGCTTTGCAGGCTATAAGGTCTCTGCAGCAACCACTCAACTGTAATGCTGTCAAAAGCAGCTATAGGTAATTCACAAAGGAATGGGCTTGGCCGTGTTCCAATAAATTTTTACTTATGGATGCTGAAATTCAAATTTCATATATTTTCATGTGTAATAAATATTATTCTTTTTTGAAAACAAAAACCACTCTTTGCTTGCGGGTTATACAAAAACAGTCAGCAGACTGGATCTGGCCTCAGGGCTTGGTGTGCCAACACCTGATATACCTCAAACAAAGTAACACACTCATCAGATTGAATGCAGAATGCAGCTAGTTGAGATTCTAAGCTGTCTTCTATTAAACCAAATATGAAAGAGATTAGCATAAGTGTAAAACAATGCCACCTTTTTCACAATTTTTTTATTTTGGAGAATATGGTTATTTTCCTAAAAATACCTATGCTAATATGTAAGGGGTATACTTTTGTTATTTTAAAATAAAGCAGTAAGTATTTTTTAAAAATGTTTCAGCTTTAATTTCTAATAGGGTTACTATTGACAGATGTAATCTACAAAAAGAAAGCCTTTTTGGGGGTCCACAAAAATTTTTAAGAATGTAAAGGGGTCCCTAAGATGAGAAAGTTTGAAAAAAATCACTGTCCTAGAAAATTCAAAAATTATCTCTGGAATAAATTAGCAAAATTACACATTGCTTCTTTTCTAACTTCATATATAGTACAACAAATGGCAGTAGAAAAGGAGCAAATTACCTATGTTCTAGAAACTAACAGTCATGAGTCTGGGAAGAGGCATTAGGTCTGTAAATAAACTACACTTCCCTCAACTTGGCTCCTTATAAATACTCCAACAAAGAGTTTCATAGCCGCCCACAAAAGTTAGTCTTTAAGACTGTATCCTTACGGAGGCAGGGGTGTAATTTTACTCTTACCTGATGCAGTGTTCCAACCTAGCCTCCTGCTGGAACACTGTGTCAACCCTGCCTCCCTCCTGAGGGTTCTGCTCTGCCCCTGACATCATCAGAGCATCAGGGCTGAAAAAGAAGAGCATGAGCCTAAATTATT